GTGTGTGTGTGTGTGTGTGTGTGTGTGTGTGTGTGTGTGTGTGTGTGCTCCATTCACAGGTCCCATTTCATACTGTAGGTCGGGAAGTTGCATGCAATGTGCAATATTCATTAAGTGGCATACATTATGAATGTCTGAGTCCATTCCTCGGATGAGACAACACATTTAAATGATAATTATTTTCGGATCATCTGATATTCATGCTGGTTGTTTGACCTGAGAGCAGCTTATGAAACAGATGTGGTCGTTCAGATTTGGGTTCTAATTTCATATCAACACCACTGATAAATTATGAAAGGAGACATTAGTCATGCTTCAGACATCTAACAACATCACCTTGGTTTGAGAAAAAAACTAAAACTACCAATCAGCTAGTTGCTAAACAGAACAGTAATGCTACGCAGGCTTTCAACTAACCACCTGCATATCAAATGAAAACAGCAAAACAGATCCTCCTGCTGCACGATGACGTTACACTCCCCACTGTGTGTATCATTTCATTCCTAAAGCTGAAGCAAAAGCTAATTTCTTGTGTCTCAACTTTTAATTAATTTAAACACAAATATTTACAGTATATATATTTTTTTTCATGCATTGCATCTATTCCATATGTATCAGAAATAGATGCCATTGTCAAATTTTGTATTGATTTACACTGGAAGTGTGCTTTGAATTATTTAATGTGCAGTTTTGAAGGATGTAGAAAGTAGAGCGCCCTCTTTCACTCGTACCAGTTATCACCCTCGACAATATTCATCCAGGATATCAAAAGGTAGAGTTTACATATTCTTCTAATGGTTACTAGAGTCTTCAATATGTGAGTTGGTAGTTTTGTTTTATTCCTGTAGTCCTGTAGGAAATTAACAAAACAAATTTACTTCCTTGAATCATTTTTCATCATTCATAATTTTTGGTTTTCTTGTAGTATTCTTCACTGTTGTATGAATCAGTCTGACGGCAAAACCATCACGATAACTAGACAACCGACCGAAAACATAGATTGGGCCTGAGTTTAGTGCTGTTTAGATTAACGTGCATTTATGGTCCAGTACAAGAAACACCTCTAAATGTTGGCTGGAGAAATCTGTGGAGTCTTTTAAACCACCATTACTTTGGCACGGCTAGGAAAATTGTACCAATGCGACTGTGATCCTGCCATGTCATCGCAGCAAATGTGGAACACAAGCATCTGTTCACTCACATTAAGGTCTGGCTGGACTCCACCACTCAATTTCTCTCAGAGCAATGTGTTTCTCTCGCAAATATCTCACAGTGGTCAAAAAAGGACCTCTTAATCTGATCCAGACTTGACAAGGAAAGACAATTAGGTCTGATGTGATTATCTGATATATATCTGCAGGGTTATTCATAATGAAGGACGTGTTCCAACAGTCATCAGAGGCTCTTTTTTGTGCTTTTTGTGACCATCCACTGAGAAGTTCATGCATTTCTCCTCACTTAATTCCTCTGTAATCTCTTAATCTGGTCGGCTAATCCAGAGCAGGCAAACTCAATTTCTTTACCCTACTTTGTCGCTCCTCCTCCTTGTGTCAAACGCCTGAATCACTGTCTTCAAAATGTATAAAGCAAAAAAATGCATTTAATCCTATTTCACCCCCAATCATTCTTAAATTGATCAAACCCTATTAAATCACATCATGGCAAATACAATGTTCTGCTTCATCACCTAATTGGCCATTCTTGTTTTACTCATGTGCATGTGGAGATTAGTTCTTCAACCAAAGATCTTCGTGACAGTATGAATTTGATTTATTTGTGCTGCACTGACACATCCTCAGCAGAGATACTGTAGGATCCAGGTGCAGGGCTAAGCACCCTGTGTTATTAAAAGGCTTACTCTTAATAGTAATAATAATACGCACAAAAGGAGTGTGTTTCACTGCAACATAACAGTGCCTCCTGGTGGAAAGACAGCGTTGTTCCCCAGTGTGACAGAATGTTATTTCCTGTTATCTCCATTTATGTGTTTGTTTTTTTCTGTGATAATTTGGAGATGTCCTCAAAAAGCAATACATTTATTTCTTGTGAGGCTGTATGTATTTATTAGAAAGGCTGTAACTAAGTCAGTGTATCATCAAGAGCAAGGAAAAACGTAGGAAAGAAAGTATAGATATATGCAGTCAGGCAACTTTGCCAGCGTGCATTATCATGATGGAATATAAAAAGTGTTTTATTTATAAAAGAGTATTTTTATTGTTATTTTGTTGTAAAGTGGAGAGAATGTATAAACTTGGATTGTACCATGTCGTGGGAGCTACCGGATATGTTTTCTGCATTCCATTCAACAAATGGCAAAATGTTAGCAGCCTGGTTGGAAAGGTTTTTTCTTTTTCTTTTATGTAGAAACGTTTTGTCATGGTTTGAGTCCTGTCTTCTTGTTACAATTGAGCTCATTAAAGCTTGCAAAGAAAGTTCTCTGAAGACCGGGGTCAATGTTTCAGCATTAAGACACCGTCATTAAAAGGAAATTGATAGTGAATACATCAGAAAGAGCTTTCAGAGAACTTTCAAGTGCAAGACCTTCATGAACTCTTTAGAATAAAGCTATAGGTCCAATGCAAATGTCAGAGAGAGTTAACTATTCATGTTTCAAATAAGGCATAACTTCAACAAACCTCATTTCCCCCACCTAACCCCTCGTCTTATATCGTTGTATTGCCTGAGACTGCGGTGTAAGGATATAGTTCAAAAAATAAATCCATTACATTTTGTTGAGATACTCTCGCCCCTAAAGGATGATGATTCTATTTTTTTTTTTTGCTCTTACTGTATGTATATTTTTGCTCATGTCTACTGCAAACCAAGATAGAGAAATAAATAAATAAATGTCATTTAAGGGAAATCAGGCTCACACTTATTTTTTTGCCTCTCAGTCATCTTTGGTGTCATCATAGGATGAGAGAAGGGATTTATCTTTCCTGGGCAAATCCTTGATGAATTGAAGTAAATGGAGGCCAGGTCTAACAACAGCAAAACTGCATAAAAAAATCCGTTTCCCAAGCTTTTTGCCCAAATCTTTCTATTTAAAACACTTCCTCCTCTCCTGTCTCACGCACAGACTCACATAGCGCATGCGCAAGTACGAGATGTTCGTGACGGAGGTGTTTTAATTAGTACAATTTTGGCGAAAATGAATGTTCGGGAAGTAAAGTCAGTGAGCATACGACTGGATAAACGCTAAACTTTGAATATACTGCACGTGTAAGAGTTTGTAAACATATTTTAATATAGTTTTGCTGTTGTTAAACCAGGCCTCCATAAACTCCAATCCATCGGGGATTTAACGTTCAAGCGAGAAAAAACTAAATTCTAAATTCAACACTCGGTGAGTAATCGATATACAGATGGTGATTTTGTTGGTGTGTTCCTGCCATTACAGAATTTTATTTTAAAACATTAAGAAAATGAACTAACATTATCAACTGCATGTGAAGAAGTAACAGTCAAAGGTGTCCATGTAGTGTGTAGCAGAGATATCTATTGAAATTAGTCTTGTAATGCCACTCATACCTGGAGAGGTGATGGTGAGTCACCAGCTTCCAGTCTGGGCTTGTCAATCACCTTGAAGGTAGAGGGTCCATGTGCGCTTTGATAGTTTGTTATGTTAAACTATCAAAGCGCACAGGGGTCATGCAACCCCCATTTAGTGGCATGTAAACACAATATTGGCCACACCTGATGGTTTTTAGAATTTTCTTGCCCTTAATAGTTAGTAGTTGTTGTTTGTTGTTTTTGTTTCTAACTAATGACAGTAATTGATTGTATGGACCCAATAGTAGAGGTGAAATGCTTCCCCCTATTTGGTTGGAGCATGTGGCCAGATCTTACACATTGTACCTTTTTAAAGTGGAATGGCCATAATGCCAATGTTGATCCTTTTTTTTTTCATCGCTTCATCGTAGTCAAATAGAGTTCCGCTGTTTAGGGACAGAAAAAGAAGCCAGCCAGTGTCAAAAGAAGCGTGATGTTATCACATTCATCATAATCCTCACCGTCTACAGCGCCAGTCCAGGTAATGTTCATAGAACTAGTGAGAGTCTCTGCACTTTATTGTCACAATAGTATCAAGAGGAAGTGAATACGCAGTGGAAATACCACCAGCAACATGTCATCCTCCTACACAGTGCAGGTTAGAGGTTTCTGGATTCTACTATAACAAATGGTTGTTCACAATCATGAATAATGATCGACCAGAGCTCAGAAATGTGTGAAGTCTGTTTTAGTTAGTATTACTTTTTCCTTTGGGGAATGCTTTACATTAGTCTGCCGCCAACTGCTTGACAAGATTACAGGCGAAGTGTACTTCCGCTCTGTGACCTTCAACCAGCTCCTGTCTCCTGTTCACACTGAGGCTTCAGGCTATATCCTTATCTCTCCTTTCTTCACTGTCTCCTCCTCAGAAAGAGAGAGCACAGTCCAGGAAAAGGGAGAGACTCATGGATTACATGGCATTAGAGGTATTTGTGGCTTTAAAATAGTTCGATCAAGAGTAGCGCCGGTGATTGATGCTTACACATGCTGTTCTCTCTGTTACACACACATTCTATATGTAAAAATCCTGAATAATCGGACACATTTTCTTCGGATCAGGACTTTTTCTAATATTTAAGCCATGACATCTAAAGTTTTCTTACAAACAAAGAGATAAAATGAGGGGAACAGCATTTGTATTGGGGTTTAAAAAGCACATTTCCACAAAATGTATCGCACAGAGCAGATTTTATCCACCATGATGATAAGTGAAGATTATTCTGTAGCAGAGAGAACCTCTGCTGGATGGTGGATAGCATTACACAGACTAAGTCAAAAAATAGGCATCTGGATTCTTTTTTTTTTGTTATTTAATAATTATTAACATGATAGAAAAATTTACAATATATAACAGAAAAATGTATTTTCCACACTCGCACCACAGATGCTATGAAGTGCCATTTAGTCCTTTGTTCAGCACATGTTGATTGTTTGTGTAATACCTCTTTACTTGGGATAGATTGGTCCCAGATTTAAAGGCTACAAGGCATCTAGACCAAGCCAGTTTTTGAGGTAGTATACTAAGTCACCAAGCATCAGCTACAATTAAAACAGCACATTTTCAATAGAATTTAAAATGTAAACTGTACAATCTGATGCACTCCATTACAAATAATTCACATTCTGTGTTTAGCCAGCCTGGATGCATCAGCTGTCTTCAAAATGCCTCTTAAGTGAGAAGCCGAGTCATGAGCTCATAAAATGTGATAAAGAATGTCCACAGGCCCGAAAGCAAACTGACTTTCAGCATCAGTTGATTGTTGATGCAGCACTTTGGTTGGGGGGGGGGGGGGGGGGATATGGCACGTGTGAATGTTAGCATAGAAAAAAAGTTTACTCATGTTTCCTTGAGAAAAGTTAACGCCACGTTTTTTTAGCTAGACGTTTATGTGTGATGCCCAGGAAACCACGAGGACAGTGCAAATATGGTCAAGTCTGATTAGCCCCTTTTCTATGGCAAGTCCAGCATGTTATTTTCCTCAAGGGCTTTCTGCGTCCTGTCATAAACCTCCCCGATGGCCTGAGCCACTCTGTTCAGCACCGTGTTCAGCTCCCCCTGGTTCTGCACACACACCAGCCTGAAGAAGAAACCGCGCTCTGGCATGGCAATGAAGGCCAGCTCGGCGGCCCTGCGGACGAACCAGGTGTGGTGGTTGGCGAGGGTGCTCTGGTAGGCCTCCCTGCACAGCTCCGAGGGGCTCCTCAGCCGGCTGGCCGCCGGCGTCTCAGCCAGCTTCTCCAGGAAGAGCTTCAGCCAAAGCAGAGCGCGATGCAGACGCAGAAGAGTCCTGCATCCAGACTCCGTCTGGTGGTCGAAGTCCACCAGTCCTCGGTTCAGCTCCACCCAGATCATGGAGCGCACAGAGTGATAGGCGCCGGCGTGCTGTGAGGCCTCCTTATCGTTCTTTGTCCCGGCCTCTCCGCCCACACTGTTTATTGAGTGTATATCTGGGCCCAGCTCTGCTTCAGGGTTCCCTTCTGACAACAGGGCCAGTTGACGGATTATGGAAGTCTTGCTTTCAATCTCTTTAGATATCAGTCCCACCATGGGGCCCAGCGCCTCCATAAACCTGGAGGAGTAAACCCAGAGCAAGATGAATCATCTTACAGAGTCCAGCATGCCATAAAGCGTAAATTGCTTCTTTCTTTCTATAGTGGCTGTAAATGAATCTACCGCTCCTGCTTTATCTGATGAGTTTACCTCACAAGCTCGTCCCAGCTGGACAGATATGGCTGCATTAGCACGTCCGAGGTGTAGGCCGGTGCAGCCAGCAGGTGGGAGTGCAGGAGGGACACCTGGAAGGTCTGACCGGGGCACCCCTCGATGACCTGGGGGCCCTCAGCCCCATCGGCTTCACTGCTGTTGTACAGCTGGTGAAGCTAACAGTAGGGGGGAAGGGCGGTATGTGAGTGTGGGGCCGAGTGATGGGGGACAAAGAAAGGGAGAAAGCGGAAGTGATTCACTGCATTCAAATTAGCCATCTGCTTTACAAAATCAGCCTGATGGAGGAAATGTAGCAAGTGAGGAAATGCTTTATAATCTGTGTGTGGTCTTACCGTGTTCACCTGATTATATCCTTTCAAACAAGAATCCCAGTGGTAATCCAAACCTCCCCCTGCAGTGAGACATTATGAAGAGAAACTGTCAGTGTTTGATTACAGAGACCTTTTTTTGTCTGATAATACTGCGACTGTTTCCAACACAAGGACATTGTACGTTGCATGTGCATTTAACACATCAAAATTAAATATTTATTAGTTTGCATTTCCATATTAATTATAAAGAATTAAACCTGCAATAACAGATTTTTGGTTGTGAACACAATGTTGACAAATCCTGTTACTGTAATATAGATGACTTATTTAGGCATCTAGCAGTTACAGAGCAACATTACTAAATCATTTGGAGTCATGTTTCTGGTCACCTGATGAATGTAAGTCTAACATTTACTCTGTTTTTAGCTCAGTTTTATGTCTCAGACTCCTGTGGGAAAATATCTGGCTCTTTAGCTGCTAAATGCTCCAATATGTTCACCAACTATAGTGTAACCTTGTCTGTGTGGTGTACAGAGGGTTTTTAGAGCTTTTTCACTTACAACCATTGAGTGCCACGGCTAAAAGTAAACCCTGTTATAGGAGCTAAACAATGAGCTGAAACTCGCTATAAAGCTCCTTAAAGCTGAGATGAGCTGCAGATTCAGCTACTAAGTATTTTTAGGTTCATTACAATGAGTGAGCCCTTTTTTGTATTGTCAGATTCCCATTAATTAATTATGTTGTAAAAAATGAAATTAAAAAAATGTATTATAGCTACTTTGAATAAGTAAGTATATAGTCTTATTAAAACATTCTTGATTAATTCCACTTGAAAAAAAAAAAGGGAAATGCATTTTAGATATAAATATGTAAGTAGATACCCCTCTAGTGAATTTTGAATTGTTTACATGTCTTATGACCGTGATGCTAACTTCAGTGGTTGGCCTACAGATAAAACTCTGGGCCTGTGATTTGACGGCCTACCTGCCCGACTATCTAGCTGTCTAGTTAACCGCGTACCTGCGCACACTCATGGCTCTTCACCGGATCATTTTTAAAATAGCTTACTCTTTCTGGTTTCTCTACTGTTACCTACCCAAGTGTTTAAGATCATACGGCACATAGACGGATAGAAAAACAAGGCAGAAATTAACATTCTTTTAACAGCAGGCCGTGATGTGGAGTTTTAATCCCTTTGAGCTCATTCCAGCCTGTGACAAAGATTTAAATTGTCTCAAAACACTGACTTCCTCAGCACACATCATGCGCACAAGACAAGCTGCTGGTATCAATTTTGGACCCGTAAAAATCTCTAATAACATGCCTCCATTGAGCCACAAGACCCATGCACTAACCATTAGTATACTGTGGCAATACTATATAGGAATAGATAAGTTGCAGTTCTGAAAATAACTCACCTGAAATGCCCCTTCACACTGATATACTAGAGGTCTACATATTGGTATATTGAATTCAGCTTACTGAGGTCAAACTACTCCACACTTTGATTTGGGACCTCCTGTCAGGAGGCCTCTGCAGGTCTCCAGACCACACAGGCAAGGAACAGGTGTATCCAACCACCTTACAACCAAAAGCCATAAAATCTGCCAGTGCTCCTCTACATGAGTCATTAACATAAAAGCCCTTAAACATCAACCTCCAAACTGACCCTGGAAGACTTTCATGAACAATGAGCCTCCTGTCAGATAACTTGGCCAGTCGGCCTCACTGAGCTACCGAACTCTCTCGGTTCAAATTCAACACCGAGCCCGTCTTATAAACATGCATTTCTAACTTGTCTGTGACCTCCTGTAGACGTTGACAAATATGTCAACAGGGAAGTTTGCCACCGCAAACTAAGAGCTGTATCTAAATTGAAGTTTCCTAACTGAGTTACTATGAGGATGCAGAGCTGGCTGCTCATGCTCCCAACTGAACACTCAAGTCTTTCAAATCTTTGAATCTAATCCAAGATCACATGATCCCATTGTTACACTGCTTACCAGATTTTTATTCCCATGTGAAAAACTATTTACATTTTATTTATTTATATTTATATATATATATATATATATATATATATATATATAAGAATCTTCATCATGTATAAAAAGTCTTTATTTTGGCACTACTTTATCTGATGTGACTTAAATAGCTCATGTAAAAAAAAAAAAAATAAATCACTGTATCGTTCCACAGTCCAAAAACATGTCAAATCACACGTAGAAATACTTCTGTTATGTTGTTAAATTTCTGAGCATGAAGAGTGAGCACTAAGTGGTGTGACCATCATGCTTGATTCTGCAGCCACCGCACCATGTGACACATTCCTGACGAGGAGCGCATGCATTTCAAACAAGGGAAGGATTGTATGGATTATTAGCACAAGATAGAAACCACACACATACACACATACATACACACACACACACACACACAGAAATACTCACGGATCCACAGGGAGCCGAGGAACAGCAGCAGGACTACGATAGCAGCAGCAGCCTTGCTCTTAACACCCATACTGAAGTCCAGTTTGGGGTCTGCCGGTCCCTCTCGCTTCCTTCTCTTTGTCCCTATAGTTTAACTCCTCCGTGTCTCACAAGGGTCCTTGTCCCCTTGCACTGGCTGTCACCACAATTACTCCTTGCTGGACCCCTGACTCCGACCCCCGCCTCCCCCCTCCCCCCTTCCCCCTTCCTCGCAAATCTTTCATACTCCCCAAAACCTTAAATAAAAAGTTCTCTCACCCATTGTACCTCACAGAGGTAATGTTTAGCTCTATTTCACGGCAGCTGTTCTCCCCCGCCGCACTGTTACAACTCAGCCTGCTGCTGCTCTTTCTTTTTTAGGTTTTCCTTTGGCTTTCTTTTGATTCACGTCTTTCCTCTTTCCTGCCTTTGTTTCTGACTGATTTTCAAGCTGCCTGTCTCTTGGGGTGTTGCTCAATCTGAGAGTCCAGAGACCAGCCACCGGCTGATAATGCAGAGCCAACGCAGCTTGTCCGCCAGTAACCCCCTTCATCCAGATTCATCTTCTATAAGCGCTATATTCCTGGTCAGTTCGAGTAAACACTTGCCCCGTCTCCTCTCCTCCCATCCTCCCTCCTCCCTCTCCCTCTCTGTCTCTCTCTCTCGCTCTACAACTCATTCACACACTCCATTAGCAGCACAACCACAGCCACCACACACAACAGTGCTGACACACATTTCAGTTGGTTTAAATGGGAGTATAGCATGAAACGTATCTCAGGACACTCAATGTATACAAATGTATGTTTCCCCACTCTTTTATCTTTATTGAAACCTAGAGTAAACCTCTGTAATGATCAATTAAAAAGCAGATTGTGTTGTCCCACAATCTGCAATCGGCTGACAAGAGCAATGTGATACCAAATCCACGTTTGTCAATGAATAACAAAGTCTTACCAATCTTATTCTAGCTGAGACGGTCAAATGAACAAAGATTCATTCACATTCACATTCACGCTAATCTAATTCTAGATATGACAAAGACATCTGCTGTTCGACAAAACATTGTGGGAAACTATTTTGGAAAGAAAAATATCTAATTCCCTTTCCCTTGTCTCATCTTTTACAAAATTTGATTCATATTCTACATCCTTCTGAATTTCTCATTTCTTATTATTTAGAGATTACATCGGATTGTTGGAGTCTAAAGTCCGAGACATGTCAGTAAAACTGGATTGAAGACGTAGTGCATGAAGGGTGTTCCCATGATTATCACCTCAGATAGTGATAATCATGGGAAACCCACTGATTGGTCGCTATCACTGGGTTTGCCGTCTCTGCTGCAGGGGAAGTTGAACAATGATTAAACTCCACACTCAAGCCAAAACCACATGTGTGCTCCTGAAGAGGGACTTAACAATGGTATTTTGCTGTGGAGGAGCGGGAAAATGGTGAAAGCCGGGGCATTAATTACTTGGCTGCAGGGCTGGTCATGGGGCTTTTACTATGTGCAACCAATGAATGAGCCCATTTTAAATAGGCAACAACTGACAAGGGAAGACTGTGAATCCCTGTGAAAACATGTGATAATCTCACTATGATAACATTCATTTTAAAATAGATATAGTCCTTCAAAAATGTATGTTTGGTTAAAAAAAAAAGAAGCAGAAAGCTGTCTATGCTTGACATGGTGCACAGGTGCAAAGTACTTAGTAGACTAAGCACATGGAACATATGACACCACGCTGTTCAACTTAATTTATGTACAGGGGTTCAGTAGAGCAGGAAAGAGGTATTTTGTCACTGTCAGATAAAATCACACTGGATTCTCCATCAGCTTCTGTACAAAAGTTAAAGAAACGCATGTAGAGAGTCAAAACATTTAATCACGTGATCTTTTTTTTTTCCTGGGCTTCATCATTTTTTGTTTAAATTTAAGTAGAGCACACATATCCAGAGCTGGATGATTGAACATAATGGTAACAGTGCAGATGTTCATGGGGGGGGGGAGCATGATTGTTACTGATTGTTGTGGATGTGACCTTGTGGGCTGACGTACAGCCGTGAACTTCCATTGGCAACAAGCTTTCAACATTTTATGTAAATCCCTAAACGGAGGATTACATCGTGAGAGTGACCGATTCATTTTAAGACATTTACCGAGAGGAGTTTACTGTTACTGTAGCTCTGTCAGATGATGCACAGCAGGCACTGGCGATTTAAAAAATGTTGTCATTGCATATTCAAATCACAGCTCTTGGTCCAACCTCATTTACGTACAATGTTTGTGAACCACATGCTTCATTGGATGTAACTATATTTATAGCACTTGTTGTCAAAAAAAAAAAACAGCATATCTGTCTGACATTTAGCACAGGGAGGCCTCCTTGTCAGTTGTTTTAAAGAACTGCCAAATATCATTGGTTGGAGTTGAGAGAAATTCTTGGCTTCAGCTGTGCAGAGTAAGAAGAGTAAACACTGGACTTCACCCAGACTGGGTGTAGTGGGAAAATGTGACCTAAACCGTATGCTGACAGCCTTCTTTATCTTAAAATGTCAAAAAAGCACAGCTTTTGCCCCTCTTATCTTATCTTATAATTCGCCCATGTTTGGCTGAATCTAAACCGAACTGAACTGAGTGTGAGACATATAATCTGCCTTCTGGAGGCTCCAGTTACCTTAAAGAAGCTCATCTCTGTTTCCCCAACTGTATATTTAGAAGTGCATCACATACTGCGCAACTCGCATGGCACATTCCAAAAATCAAGTCTGTTGCCCTTGTCCCTGCAGAGTGGCACTTCTATTACTCACAGTACTAATTATAAGAGCAAATTTAGTCTCCGGATTTGAAATGATTGAAACGTCACGGTTGTCCGTCTGGTTTGTTCTTTCTGGAGCTACTTTTGTAGCAAGATCCACTTCTGTTGCAAAAGAAGTTCTCTGACATATCTTAAAGCAGTTCAAAGTCTCCAAGGAGTTTTATGAGCATTGTCCGCCTCACTCTGTCGCTCCTGGAGTCCTGCTGTTGAAGGGCTCTGCGGTATGTAATCCAGACACATAGCAGGGAGAGAGCAGGCCCGCACACCTCGCTGCACCCAAGGGTGTACGTATCTCCATGTTGTTTTTGTTGTTTTTGTTGTTTTCTTTACTCCATCTGACACACAGATCCACGTATTCTATTAAGACAATAGTTACACACAAATGCAGGACAAATATGCAAAGTCAGCATTACTATGAAAACATGTCATTGGGGATTTTCCCATCGAAAGAAACAATCAATCCTACAATCTATGACACGTATCAAACTAGAACTATTATAATCAAAAACAATTTATAGGACTAATACAGGGATATTGGATATTCATCATATTGGAGTTAAACAGCATAAAATCTAACTGTTGCCTACATTTTGTCATAAAAATGCTTTAAATAACTGGCATCGCCTCAGATAGTTGTTGTCTAATGATCGTGATGATGATTATTGTGGGTGACCGCAGTGTGACTTGAAGTCCTGGTTTAGTGCTACCCAGCTGCTATGAAATCTGAGCCATGGATAGCAACAGCCGGGGTGGGCGACAGTCAGAGCCTTCGGTTGAGGGATTTAGGGCTCTTCCTCTCCGTCTTTACTCACTCACTCTCTCACTCTCTCTCTCTCCGTCTTTACTCACTCACTCTCTCACACTCTCTCTCTCTCTCTCTCTCTCTCAAACTTAATATTTAGATTGAGTGCCGTGCAGTGTAGTGGTCTTGGGACGTGATGGCAGCACGCAGGTTGTGGATATTTTTTGGAGTCGTAGCTGTTCTCGGGACTTTAATGGTTCAGGGTAAGTGACGTATAGTGTCAAACTTTTGGCACATCCTCATCGACTGGATCGCTTCCTTTTTATCGCAAAAGGCCTGATGATCGGCAGAAGATCAGCGTTCAGAGAGACAACCAGCTCTAAAACTCTTATTACATTGTTTGGGATACCAGAGAAAACTTACTTTAGACCCTCGGGAAAACTTGTTAAAACTTCAACACACATACTCTTGTAAATCATTGAATTTGTGTAGATTATACACATTTTTGACTATTTTGTAATTTTCCTTCTGTTGATCTGCGAGCATACATGCAGTTAATCTTTAATATTTTACATACTGCTGTAGGGGAGACATAAACTGGCTTTTTGTTGACATCCGTGCATGACACCATGCACTTAATTTGTAGACTTGCATGACTTTGTAACACATGTAGCATACAAGGCAAACCGGATATAAAACATGTTTGGGTTTTTATCTCTTCTCGCATACAGTAAGTGCGCTGTCCACAGGATCCTCTGTTCCATAACCTGTCCCATGATTAAGTATTGCTTTGAGTAAAGTCAATGCAGTTAATAGGCAGAGCGTCGTCTGTGCTTTGTCCTGAGAGCAGCAGTACCGGAGTGTGTAAAAGCTGTTCTGATGACATTCTGCAACAGGAAGGTACCAAAGGCTGTAGTGGAAGCAGAAGTGAGAGCCTCGGTGTGATGGAAGTTTGAAAACATACGATTCTACAAATCCATTTGGCCACTCAGGAGGGAAGAGGTGTGACGAGTTGCTCTCGACAGCTGTAGACAAATCTCCTGTCCATCTTCTTGGCAGAGGTCACCGGAGTAGTTTAAACATTCCGGCATGCACGAGACAGACCCTGAAATGTAGACTTCTGGAAAGCATTCATTAGGATGCTGGAAATAGGAGTGAGGACGTCCAGGAGGCACAATGCAGACGCTGTCCTAGACGAGCTTTTTACGCCCTTACTGATGAACACATTGTTGTTGCGATTCACTGATCAAATTGACAATATCACTGTCAAGTGCAAAGCTTTAGATGAGGCCATTTGATCTCTATACACTTAGAGCAACAGCTGTACTTACAATCTTGATATTAATTAACTCAATCAAGCTGCAAAGTTAGTTCTGATATTAGGAATGAACTCTTCTCCTTGTGTCCTCATCGAGCTATGATCACACAGTGATGTGTAGTGGACTGGAAAGCATCTGACTGCTAACAGGCCTTACTGCAAGATGGACAAACTCTTTCTTGTTCTTGCTCGATCAAATTCCATTCTCTTAGCTTCTTTTGTTCAAAATGGTCGCATAAATAGGAGTGTACACGGTCAACTAGGGTGAGCTCGGTTTGCCTTTACCCTAGTCAAACAGTGAAGTTGTAATGTTAACCTGGTGGCCATGTTGTCCTGACCTACTGTGTGGCCTGCATTCTGGTCACCTTAATGGGTCTGCTCAGGTGAAGCACATTTCTCACTCACAGCTAGTGCTATCTAGCAATTTTATCTGCCAAAGTTACGAAATATCCGATCCATTTGACCATTTTGATCAGCACTGCATTCCCTCAGTGGTCACCTGCAGGCTCTGTTGCTTTCCCATCATCCCATTTTTTTTTAATGGGTTTTTGGTTAGGTGCCTGAAATATGATTTGTGGTTAACACAAGCTCAAGAGAGTTTAACGCTTTGTTCTACGATATGAAATCTGACGGAAGATACCCCTTGTTGTGAATTTTGAAGCTTCTAAGTGTTTTAAAAAAGGCGGTTGCAACCAAGTTGCTAAATAAGCCTACAACACATCATCACACCAACTCGTCTACTTTCACTGGCTCGCGCTCATGCAACTGTGGTGAAGTTTGTTTACAGCCTAATTTGAACTTTTTGCTTCTGCCGATTGCATTCACGCTTCAGAAATCGCAAAAGTGGTGTTTCATCTTGTGAAGATGATCCTGCTAAACAAAATGTGTCATTATCATAAACGGGGTTTTTTTGCCACAGAGTTTATTTTCTGCAATAATCCCAAATCTAAAGTAAAAAAATCCCCCTTTTTTTTTGAGGTAACCATTGCAAGGCTAACTTCCGGGGCTGGCCTTCAAAAATACACCATCCCTGATCCGTGTGTGAGTTGAGTAAGACATCACATATTGTGTGTTTCTCACTCTAGAGTGCATCCCTGTTTCCTAAAAAATGACATCCCCATACAACTATTCTGCATTCAATCTGTAGTGCTAGTAATATTTTGTTTTGTACTACAATGCCAGCATTGCTTTGGAAATGTGTCTTTGCAGTCGTCCATTATTCCCACACTGTTCTCCTGTTATACACTTATTTTTGTAGATGGATACAAAAATCATGGAGTGCTATTCTACTGTATTATTATAGATATATTGTAGCAACATCAGAGCAGATGCAGTAGTAGTAGGCAAGGCTGTCAACTTTCTGTCTACATTTCAAAGACCTAAAGGGACGCTTCAGTGCTACTGGATTTTGATGAAATACACAGGAATTACACTTTTTTGTTTACCAATATTTAATCATTAACAACTGGCAAACCCTTGGAAAGTGAGAAGTCTCTCCAGTGTCATCACACAACACCCACTACACAGATTGTCCCACGGGAGAGTTACGATTATAGCTCGAAGCTATGTGACATGTTTGTGCCTGATTGGACCAGGCAGACCTGGGAAGGAATCGATCATGGGGGATGACATCTTTACTGCTTCGTTGTATGTGTTGCATCTTTGCTTAATGATGGAATTGATGATTATTGTAGATGACCTGAGTGTGTGACTTAAAAGTGTCCTAGTTTCGAGTTTCCCAGCTGCTGTGTAATCTGAGCTACGGATAGTGACAGCTGGGAGGGAAGAGGCAATGTGTCGGAAATAACCTCTGCCTTAGTCCCTCTTTAAGTTTACACTGAAATATAGTGTAGCGGAGGAGGACAGACAGATCGCATTGTTGCCTTTAATTAAGTGCCGTTTTGAGCATCTTTACTAGTCTGTAGGCTCTTCATACGCATGATATCACATGTCAAGTCGGCTTAAAATGTTTGTGTTAAAACATACAGTATAGGTGCTTCTAAGTACATACAGAAATAACTTATTTTGCATCTGCACTTCCTTTTCTCCACATTGTCAAGAGCATTTTTCTTTAATGATCTCAAAAGCGACTATTCAATCAACTGTGGACAAGATTGGAAGGTAATGACAACATTTATGATCGCAGGGTGTCAGTGTTAGTATTTGAGAGTACAGATATACACATTTAAATAAACGGACCCAAACTTAGTTTAACCTGCCTTTCAGACTGAATACTATTTAAGATGTTTCTCCCCCCTCCCGTCATAAAATATTAATCAGATGTAATTCCATCACAATAGTAGGTAAACTCACTCCATTTCTCATCTTTGTTTTCATGCAGTGCAGTGCAATGAGGAGTCCATTCTGATCGGCGACTTGTTCAAAGGCTACAACAAGAATATTCGTCCAGCGGTTCACCCTGAAGACAAGCTGGACATTAAGATCAAGCTGACCCTCACTAACCTCATCTCCCTGGTGAGAGCTCTCTCTTGTTGCATCAAAGCCTGGCTGCAACACTGCCAAACAGCTAATTTACATCTACATCTACAGCTCAAATATTCACACTGCTTCTTCACTTATACCGCAGAACGAAAAGGAGGAGACTCTTACGACTAATGTGTGGATTGAGATTGTGAGTTTTCCCTCTCTTCATATTTATATGTTTTTGTGTCTTTTGTACAAATCCTGGTCAAACTTTTGGGAGTAAGGTTAATTTTGCCTTGCGGACTCTGTCCTGCTCTCTTATTCAGCCCTCGGCTATGTCTCATTTTTAATGTCACTGTTGACCTTTCTCTCAAATGTCATCGACAGCAATGGCCTGATTATCGCCTTGCCTGGAACAAATCTCACTATTATGACATTGAAGTTATTCGTGTTCCGTGCAAGACTGTTTGGCTCCCTGACATTGTCCTGGAGAACAAGTAAGGCAGTGACATCGTGCATTTTTTCCTCGCCTGCAGTGTCATCATACATAATCTAGTCTGGTGTCAGCTGTTTCTGTTCTTTACCCTCAATCTCTGCAGCATTGATGGCAAGTTTGATGTGGCTTACTACGCCAATGTGTTGATCTACAGCAGTGGTTGGATGTACTGGCTGCCTCCTGCTATCTATCGCAGCACTTGTGCCATTGAGATCACCTTCTTCCCATTTGATTATCAAAACTGCACGCTAGCATTCAGGTGAGGAACAATTATATCATTCCAATATATAAACTATATATATTTGTTGGTTTGTTTTATTTCATACATGGAGCCTGCATGGGTTAAACAAATAGCAAACCCCAATAGAGGGCTACAAACATGCTCATAGAACTGGAGTTACATCCAGGTAACAACCATTTTCTGTTCTGTTCTATCCTCCCTGCCACAACCCCTAGATCCCAGACGTACAGTGCCAATGAAGTGGACCTCATCTTGGCTGAGGGAGATACAGGCGAGATTATTGAGTGGGTGGACATCGACCCCGAGGCTTTCACAGGTAGAGTACGTCCGCATTCAACACTCTAATTTCCAAAGCACACAATTCCTCTCCAGCTTATTCTGTCTTCACCCCTCAGAGAATGGCGAGTGGGCCATCGTCCATCGTCCAGGCAGGAAGATCATCAACACACGGTACACCCCAGATGACCTAGAGTATCAGGAGATCTTGTTCAATCTGGTCATCCAAAGGAAGCCCCTCTTCTACGTCATCAACATCATCCTGCCCTGCTCCCTCATCTCCTCGTTGGTGGTGCTAGCCTACTTCCTACCTGCACAAGGTCAGTGAAGCTGTTGTCTAATTCCCACTAGCTGTTAGATTATTATCGTTTCAGATGAGGCGATATTATAATAATGTTATAAAATACAAAGTGTCATAACGTTGGACTTTGGACATAAAACAAAATAATTATTCATTCTAGTTACTCTTATTCTGACTAATAAAAAAAGACCAGAATTAAAGGGTATTTTTTTATTGACTCTTCTTATATAAACAATAAAACAGAGTGAGTATAGTCAGTAAGTATGTTGTCAGAAAAATTCCGAAGAGAACACTCTTAGCAGATTTGTTTTCAGTATAACGTTTTATCATTATCCCTGTAGAATTTTTTGCTGTAATAAAGTGCCTGAGCACAGAGAATGTACTGAGTATTGGATCGCAAAGCTGGTATGTTTTTTATTTTTTTATTTGCTGTGTTCCTCTGTCTCCTAAGTCTCTGTTGTCTCCTCCACAGCCGGGGGACAAAAGTTGACCGTGTCCATCTCTGTCTTGCTGGCTCAGACTGTCTTCCTCTTTCTTATTGCCCAGAAGATCCCTGAGACGTCTCTCTCGGTCCCTCTCATCGGCAAGTGAGTCTGTGTGTGTTCTCTGCTGACCTCTGCTGGGCTTCTTTCTTTTCTTCTTTTCTTTAATCCATACAGTTTGAGTTTCCAACACAGATCTTCTCTTTGTTCTCCATCAGGTACCTGATCTTTGTCATGTCTGTCACTACTCTCATTGCCACTAATCAAATAGTGGTGCTGAACTTCTCCCTGCGTAGCCCCAGCACTCATACCATGTCAAATACCATCAAACATGTAAGTGTATTCTATGCAGCAGAATTGAGTCAAATTGGTCTATTGAAGAGTCATTTTGTGTCAACTTCTGTTATATTCTTTGCCTCCCGCAGGTGTTCCTGGAAATGGTACCTCGCTTCCTGGGCATGCCCCCACTGGTGGATGACAGTGAGGTGACATCCGAGGTGAACGGAGTGAGGGAGCGGCGGCGCAGCTCCTTTGGCCTCATGCAGAGAGCAGAGGAATATGTACTGAAACAACCTCGCAGTGAAATGATGTTCGACAAACAAAGAGAGAGGCATGGTCTCACACGATCCATTGGTAAGATGTCTATTTTCAAACCTGTGACCCATCTCTAAAATCGAACCAGCCATCAACGTTGTGGCATACTATTGTCTGATTCTGGGTCTCCTTCCCCCCTAGTGGATAATATGGATGTCAGCAGCACAGCCAACCTGTATAAGAGTTTGGCCCAGGCTGCCCCCGAGATCAAGCAATGTGTGGATGCCTGCAACTTCATTGCTGAGAGTACGAGACAACAAAATAACATTGGATCTGTGAGTGTCACTTTAAACATTTAGCCAACATCGATTTGATTTCAATTCTTTTTTTTTTTAATATGTCTATTGATTTCATGTTTTCCTATCTATAGTGGTTTTAGGCTAGCGGTTATCTTAGTCCTTTAATCAATATTCACTTGATTTCCAAACACAGGAAATTGAAAACTGGGTATTGATTGGGAAGATGATCGACAAGGTGTGTTTCTGGGCTGCCATTCTCCTCTTCATCATCGGCACAGTGTGGATCTTCCTAACGGGACACTTCAACCGGGCGCCTGAATTTCCGTTTCCGGGGCAGAGCAAAAAATATGTTCCGAGTTAAAAAAGACAACTACAAAAAATACCATTTTGCTCTGATGAAACCTTTGCGAGGGTCACTGTGCCTCATGCTGTCGATAAGGCTGAGCGATCTTGCTCATTGAGTCCCAGGCTCAGATTCGGGGTCGAGTTAGCACACTTTAATAACAGAGATTTAACAACAAATCTGTCTGTGTTCATGTTCACAGCTCGGACTTCTCTTTGTGAATACTTGTCAGGCAGCTGAGGGTTTTTCATTCAAACCTTCAACTTAGTTAGAGCCAAGTTCTTCATTTTAGTGCAAGTTATTTGGGTGTATACATTACATGGGTGCAACAGGTCTAGTTAGAAATAGTGATATTTTAATTCATAATGATAATCATCATCATTACCAAGTACAATCAATATTTGTTTTGTGGTATAAAAGAAGCAAGTTCAGACTTCAGGTCAGAGGTGTGTTTAAAAAAATAAATGCTGAAGGTGTTTCCTCACCATACTGAGGAAGTTCTTTCTGTTGACGCAAAGAATTTTTCATACCAAAACTACGCCGGCATTGGGTACTGTATTGCATGGATCCATAAGCACGTAGAACCGGATTCATAAATAGCAATAAAGAAGGTTATTTAACTGATTAAGTGATTGTATTTACACACGATGTGCTGAAGTTGTCAATCTTTCATGGGCTTTAAGAATCGTCTGTGTATCACACTGAAAAACATATCTGATAAAGCCTGGAGAAGTTTCCCTGCATGTATTATGTCTTATATGTGGAGAGCCTGTACATGTAACTTGAGCCAGCCAACTCTGAATCAAAGCCTTATTCTTCTTACTTTGACTTATTTGTCAGAAAGTCTTGTTAGGGGTAGATGTCTTGGAGCGACATTGTCTTGATTCATTATGCTATGCTTTTTTTTTTTAAATAAACATTTTATTTTGTGCATTGTGACTTGCTGAATCAATTTATTGCTAAGTGTAAGCTGTTAGAAAAACCCGCCTTACATATAAAATGAAGAAAATCTCATCTTGAATTGTATGTCAAAGTAGTTGTGCATGTAGTACTTCACAAGCTACATCCGATCGTGCCATATGCATCTCAGAAAAGACAGGAAATGATAATAAGCAGTCACCGCAGCATTGTGGTTAAAAATGCTTTGTGTATCTCTGCTGCTGTTCTTCAGCGATTTTGAAACTTACATACGCTCAGCTAAAAGTGTAAACATAACGCAAAAATGTTGTAATCGGATTATTATTGTCACGTATGTATCAACTGGATGCTTAAAATACATACGGTTAATTATCTTAACATCTTCAAATCTTGATGTATTATTTAAATCAGCATGCTCGGTGTCTGTGATGTGATACTGTGAATCATTTCTAAATCACTAGTTACACTTTTGGTGTAAGTGTGGTTAAACACTCCCATGTGGTGTGAACATGTATTACACCAAAGCAGAAAGGGCTTTTTTCCCCAGTAACAGTGACACACTAGAAGTGTCTCAGACTGTTACCAATTTATGCTTATATCTTTACAAGTATTTTTCTTTTATCCTTTAGTTTATTTTACCAGTCCACCTCAGTCAAAGTGTTCCACTAAAAATAAGCCTGTTTATATGTAGGCCTATATATCACCTCATTCAGCTTACAGGTCCACAAGTTCAGTAAGAGGAATGGGGGAACACAAAAACAATTGTTACCACATAAGTGGAAAACATGAGTAACCTTCAGAGGGGATATTAATGCAATCAAAGATGAATCTTTATTCCATCCATGGGAACGATTTTAATGTCATCAACAGTCTTGATAAGGGTGTGGGGAACAAATTTGGATTTTTGGTGATTGTCTAGTGACAATTAAATCACTGTCTAGCGTAAAGTCAGATTGCATGTCATTACATTTTTGAGAGTAGTAATCAGTCTGCTTCTCCTGTCTGTAAGTGGTGGTGTAGTTTAAACACAATCATTAAGCTACGTGTGTGCGGATGAATACATGAGAACTAGAATTGTTAACCGTTAAAATTAAAAGAGGATTTCCCAGAAAAGCTTATATTTTGTGGCTTGTATTTAAAATTAAAATGTTGTGGGACAGTTCAACCTAGGACAGCTGGCACGACATGTAAACAGTCTTCCGGTACTTCCGGTAAGTCCACCTTACAACGGGAACGTTTAAACGTAAAAAAAGACAGAAAATCAGTGTCCGATATTTGCAAGCAAGCTTTTCATTTAGAAAATACGAACCGGAAATCCGGGGATATGTTCCGTGATTCACGTCAGTACAGATAATAAGTAACGCTGTCACGTAACGTTAGCTAGTTTCATTGGAGCCCACCACCTCCTCTTTATGTACCTCATGATCTAGGTCTGGATTCCTTTGTGTGTGTGTGTGTGTGTGTGTGGCGGCGGCCCGTCATGACTTGTCGTGCCTTTCTTTTTCTTTTGTCACGCGAAAAGTAAGCACGCTGTGTGGTTTGTGAATAAACATCATGCGCTTTTTGTCAAATCGGATTTAAAAATAGGAGACAAGATGTGCTAAGCAACAGCTACCTCTTGCTGCCGTATATTCCCTTTTATTTTATCCTCCTCCACACCGTGTCCCACTGGACACCCTGTGGGAGGGACTACCGTGTGCATCACCCACGGGGAATACGAATGACCTCTTAATTGAGGAAAAACGATGAAACCTTACTTTTAGCCTGCATGGAGGCCTAATTACATGCTGTCCTTTCTGTCCCCGCGCGTGGAATAGCTGTGTGTCCCGAGTCGGTATTTGAATTGAACGTAAGTATCTCCGTGGGCCTAACTAACTAAATCAGACGGATGTTACAATCCTCTGAGCTGTCGCAGCATTGCAGATATAAGATATGAGTCCAGCTGCGGGACTTCCACGCCACGGAGGCACGAGCACCCAGCGCCTATAGCTTGTCGTCGGTGTGTGTGAACGGTCAACTGTCGTCACTTTCGCCAGATGAAGCTTGTGGCGTAGTTTTGTAAACTTGAGTTATAGTTTTGTTTTGTGGAATGAGTGGCTGTAGGAAACGAGGCTATGGGTGGAGACGACACAAAGTAGCATTCAGCAATGTCAGCCTTTGAAGTGTGAGCTGCCTTGATATCCGGAGAGATATCATACAGCCAACACTGTTGTGAGAATTAAGAAAGTGGATCATACAGATTGGGGGTAAATGTAAGATGGTGTGTAGCACACATAGGCTACAAACTTGTCCATACTTTCAAAAAAAAAAAAAAAAAAGAAGCAAAGAGGCAAATGTATGCGTTGAGCTCCAAACTTGGATCTTAACCCACGTTACAAAGCTCGTGACAGTTTACTGTAATGTGTTAAAAGTGTAGTGAAAACGTTGAAACAGTCAGAGACGATCTGCATTTTAGTCGACAGTTGCGCAGATTTTGGGGAAATCCGCTGGGCTGAGGCGCAGGCGGCGGGTTGACTGTGTCAGCACTGTTGTTGTAGTCACGTAGGAATGTGTGACATCCTGTCATTTGGTCGCACGTTTCAGGGTCTGGGGACATACAGTTTGTCTCAGTATGCATTTAAAGGCCACGTGCATGTCTCGTTTCTAAAAGGTCAGGTAAATGATGTAAACACACCATAACTTTCCCATAGAGCAGGGAACATAAACATCTGTAAAGATCAGGCTTATTTATTCAATATGACACATTTTTACAGTAAATACTACACTGTATTTACCTCGTTGACCCTAAGATGGGGAGAAACTAGCTATACCTGAGGTGCAATTTATTTAACTTATTAACATTTAATAATTTAGGGTTATATTGTTCTTCAAGCAGAGTAATAAATGTATCAGATCCTATGTGACAGGTCCAGGCATGGCTACCTTTGGGGAAAAAAAAAAACTATAGTTAAATTGAGCCAGTTTTGTAACGTAGTTACTTTAATCACAGCTAGTAGTGATGAGGTGTACCGACCACGCCCTGGGTACGCCTCTACATCATGGCAGCAGGGTGAGAACTAGTTTGGTCAGCAGTAAAAACAAGATTTTCGGGTGGTGTCTAGTTGATCTTTAGAGCCCCTTTGTGAAATATGTTAATGCTGTTGTATAAACGTTTTAATTATTCTGATGGTATACGTTTTTGTTTGTGGAAAGAAAATAGACCATTCAAAGACAAATCCTGCACATAGGTGCTTTAAATCTCTCATGGCCTTGTCGGTTACTGCTGCTGGCAACATTAAGTGGTAACCGGTCCAGCACCACTGAAACACACACAAAGATTTATGCTCCTATGAACAGTTGGTGTGTAAGATGTTGCTTGGCTCTCAGTAAAAGCACTCCCCTCTGGCCAATTTGGCTCATGTTGTAGAGGACTCTGGGTGGGTGTAGTGTGTTTCACAGGTAGGACGCCTGAGTAAGTTTCACTCCAAAAAACAAGAAAAGCTTGTCAAGTCAACACTCGACTTCTCTGCCTTAAAGGGTTAACGAAATATATTCTAAGATAATTCTGTCATGCACAATATTTATGCTCTGTGGCAATTACAAGTTAGCTTTTCACCTGAGAGTAAAGGCTGATCAGAGAAAAAAGAAGCTATACTGCCAGTATTCATAGCACTCAACAGAGGTTGTTTGGTTAAATATTATTTTTTCAACATATATCTCTGAAGAAACAGCAGTAGATTTAAATGATAGGGTTTAATGTTAATTTGCATGCCAGAATGGCCAAAATATATCTTATATTATAAGTGGAAACAACAAATAAAGCTTGGAAATAGTGACGAATTAGCTCTGCAGCAAACATGACAAAGAAGAAATGGTCCTAATATGGGTTTCATATCAATTAAAACACAACTTGTTCTTTTCATGGTAATCCCTGATGTTAAATATGTTCTCCAGCAAATGATGGAAACTCAACAGAGTGTTGTTCAGCAGTTGTAAATTGAGTCCAGCCTAATAAGCCTAATGAGTCTTAAACAAACAAGATATGGTATTCGTTATGAAGGAAATAATTGAATAAACAGTAACTGAGATAACAAATAATCGACAAAAGCCATGATTCAATTTTGAAGTAAAAAAAACAAAAAACATTTTTATCGAGAGGAATGTATGTTTTATTGCGGCTATCACTTGTCCTTTTATTTCTATTAGGTCTATAGATGCTACTGAAGCTAGCTAATAGTCCAGCTGATGTACCCAGCCAGTGTTCAGTATTGCGCCGGCCTTAACCTGCTTATTACTGTTCAGCCTCTTATATAGTTTCTCCTTCATTCAGTGGGTAGATGGGAAACAAGATAGGAATGTATGTTTCCTGCTAATGGCCTGCGTAGTGGGGGATGGTATTGCCAAATTGTACAGTCCAAGTGAAACAATTTGGCAAGTACTTCAGTAAAAACCTTTTCTATTTGATTTTTGATTTTTTTATATGACACATATCTTGATCCCAAACTCTACCACCAATATTGAAGTTTAAATAATAGAGCAAGTTCAGAGATAATGCTGAAGTTAATCAAAAAGACAACAGAGTCATATCTGTCCTCTACAGCTATAGTTGGAACACTTTTTATTTCTCATGGAATCAAAACTATCGATGAACATTTTTAATTTTCACTCAATTTTGGGAGTCCTTTAGGGTTGGTATTATTAGTATATGTTTCATCCCCATTTTCATTCCCAAACTCTCTCATTTTACACACACACACACACACACCCCTCCCTCCCTCCCTCCCCTTTGCCTGGTTGCCCAGGAAACATTCAGCCATTCAAAGACATCTACCCACACACGATACAAAAGGGTTCACACGCACATTTTTCTCGCGCTGGTAGCTGTGTCCTAGACTTCTCATGTGACGCAGTGTCGATGACTACTCTGCTGCTGGGGCTGCTTCATCTATTGATGTTATTTTTAGTTCATGCACTTCTGCTACAAACTACTGATACTATTAATGGGAGCAGTAGAAGTACTGATACCACCCAAAGCTCCACTACTTTTCCTCAATCAAAGGATAACTGCAAAAACATTGCTTCAGACTTTGCAGCAGAGACTTTGAAATGACTTTAAATGTTTCTAGTTTTAAACGCACCATATAGAATAACACATAGATGATCTGACATCTAAAGTGTAAATAGAATTAAAACTTTGAGGAAAGTTAACATCTTACTTATAACTTAACTATAGCTACACTGGCAAAAACAGCAGTCATTTGATCATTTCTATAATTAGACATGAAGCCATGTACAGTGTAGAGAAAATATACACAGAATCCCTTCAATTAAAATATAATATACTATGATATAAAGAGCTTTTTAATTATGTAATTAATGCAGCTAAAACCTCGAACTTGCAGTCTGTGGAGTTACAATATTGTAAGACTCCAAAATATCTCACTTTTGCCTTTATTGGAATACCGAATCACTTAATTGTTAATTTCTTGAGCTGATGAAATGCTGTGATCTCTAAACTTGTGTCTTTAAAATCTCTTTCTGCTGCAGACAGGTCTCGGGTTCACAATTGTTTTGTATGCCTAGTGGTGGGAAGGTGCAAACACTCCGAACTGTAAATGTGAAACTCCCTTTTCTTTTTGTCTTTGCATCAGGGCAGCTGGCACTTGCAGCAACAGTGCGATGGCCAGCCCCGACGTGATCGAGCCGGCGGCTCAGAGCTCGACGGCCCAGAACCTGGCCAGAAGGCGCTTTTCTCACGACGTTCATGGCATTTCTGCAGACGAGATAGATGGCCTCATGTCCAGCAGTGGTGAGATAAACGGCCCCTTTTATGAATACGTTTAACCGTTGAAACTCTTTTGGCTGCATCAGAAGACTTTTAATCGAAATGTTCTAATCTTCCAATTCGCAGACGGGCGCCCTTTCCTTGTGGTGCATCATCTTCCTGACATAAAAGACGAGGCTATACCTTTCTTAATGCCTGGTATACCTATTACATGCAGAGTGGACAACACAGAGAAATACACTACTCGCTCAAAGGTACACCAGTATTTAATCACATGTGGAAAATAATTTTAAAAAAATTCTTTGGTGGTTGTCAACAAGATGCAAGTATTTATAGAAAGCTTTAGATAATCTTGACCATGTCAATCTCATTTACCGTACTAATGTGATATAAAATCTGCTGCCTGAGTGTTTGAACTTTGAGTTGGTTTGTTTCGAGCCAGCTGGCTCAGCTTCTATAGAGCGGTAGGCTTCGTACCATATTTTCCTAAATCCAAACCACCATGCTCATGTACATCATTTCAATAACGTCCCTCCAGGTCCATGTAGGCACCCTGTACACAGTGCAGCTGACACATGGCTGCTTCCACTGGGTAGTGAAGAGGAAGTACAAGCACTTCCAAGAGCTGCATCGAGACCTTTACAAGCACAAGATGATACTTCACTTGATACCTCTGGGAAGGTCGGTGCACTATTCTGTTTATTTCAATCATGCAAATCAACCTCTCACTCTGAGAGACCTGCAGTGGAAATCCCTGTGATGTGTTGCTCTGAGTTTTTATCGTCAGATTTGTCAAGCACCAAGTGTTTTGAATATTTAAATTTCTCTCAAAGATTTGCAAAGGACAGGCAGCAGCTGAGAGCCATGTCAGAGGAAATGCCCAGCCTACACGGGACTGAACGGACCAGGAGGACCTCCAGCAAAATGGTATCAAACAAATCAATCAGATACACAAATAGTTTACACAGAACACCAAATGCCATTTGAATACACACACTTAATTGATGTTGTGGCAAGATATTAAAATGTATTTTATTCAAAGAAGAAGATTGGTCTTCTTCTCTATTAACTACTGTACATACTACAGCTGCTGTGTTGGTCTTTGCAGAGTCCTTATTCAGGCTGATCAATGTAATATATTTTATTTATCTGAAATATCATATATATATATAATATATTTTGGGACTGCCCCTCCCTTGTGAAAAAATGATTTCTAATACAATTTAAAATGATTTTAGTTATTTTATTAAATTTAACTGTATTATAAATATCATATAACACATCAGCTCTACAGAACAAAAACAGTTACACTTATTTACCTGCTTTTCTGTTGCAGAAATACCTTGAGGAGTACCTGAATGGTCTGCTGGAGAACACATTTTGTAGGAATGACCACAGCATGGTAACGGCTTTAAAACAAAGACACGCATGCACACATACAAAGTGGATGTCATGCAGCACGATGACATTTTCACATCTACTTTTTTTTTTCAGCTGGAATTCCTCTCCGTCGGTGCTCTCTCCTTCGTCACGGACCTCGGTCCCAAAGGCTTGTAAGCAAACTTACTGAGAGTGTGTGAGGCGCAAGGAAAAGTGTGTTTAATGACCAAGTGCGTGATAGAGATTGATTGTGCCAACTTGTCTCAGGGAGGGACCCATCTTCAAGAGGTCGGGGGGTCACCGGATCCAAGGCCTCAACTGCATTGGCCATCATCAGCTCTGTTTCCGCTGGTCCCGGCGCTGGCTGGTGGTGAAAGACTCCTTTCTGTTGTATATGGACCGAGACAACGGCAGCATCAACTTTGTGTTGCTGTTTGACCCGGAGTTCAAAGTGAAAGTGGGCCGTGCTCACACAGACACCACATATGGAGTCTGCATTGAGAACTTCACTCGGTAGGTCAGCCGTTTGTTTGCCTATAGGTACTGAGAGCTCCAGCATACTGCATGTATTTATACCTGAGGTTATGTTGTGTTTGTGACGCGTGGCCTGTTGCTTTTTGTTCAGGAGTCTGGTCATCAAATGCAGCAGCTATCGACAGACTCATTGGTGGAGTCATGAAATCAACCGGCTGGCAGACACCTCCGACTTTCTCAAAGTGCAACGCTTCCAGGGGTTCGCTCCGCCACGGGAGAACACGCTCACTAAATGGTCAGATACATGTTCTCCCGGAGATTCATCTGTTTTCACATTTCATCCTCATTCGTTAAACTTTATGTCTCATGGATTTTGTTTGAAGGTATGTGAATGGAAGTGGCTACTTTGCAGACCTGGCTGATGCTCTCGAACAAGCCAAGGAGGAAATCTTCATCACAGATTGGTGGTAAGTGTCAGCAAGATCTGGAGTCGGTGATGAAGAGGCTTCGTTTTACTAAGTTGGGAACATTTAGATATTTTAGCTACACATGAAGTGTATTTTTAATGTGACTAATGTAAATGTCTTCCCTGTCAGGCTCAGCCCTGAAGTCTTCCTAAAGAGACCAGCCACTGATAACTACTGGCGCCTGGATGAGATACTCAAACGCAAAGCAGTACGAATTCTCTCTGTCTTGTTCTTCTCCTCCATACCAGTTAAATCATTTTCAAATGACAGATTACCTGTGCTGATCAATTTTTCAAGTGGCGTTACCTCTTCTTTAACTCCTTCCTGCAGGAACAAGGAGTCAAAGTGTGTGTTATGCTGTACAAAGAGATGGAGATGGCCCTTGGCATCAATAGTGAGCACAGCAAGAGGACTCTTATGAACATGCACCCAAACATCAAGGTCTGTCACATGCCCACGTAATTTGATACACGCAATTAACCAGAGGCGTCATCTCATGTCTTAACATCAATTTGAACCCCTATGTCCGCCAGGTGATGCGACATCCTGACCACGTGTCCTCTGTGGTGTTGATGTGGGCTCACCACGAAAAGACCGTGGCCATTGACCAAACAGTCGCCTTTGTGGGGGGAATTGACCTGGCGTTTGGGAGGTGGGATGACAGCCAGTACCAGCTGACTGACCTGGGTTTGAGGGAGACGGCCAACAGTGTAAGCGAGGAGGAGCCCAAAGGAGATGCAGTCGTAAGAAACTGATAAAGCACGAATGTGTTAATATTAGTTCATGAACCCGTGTGCTTTCAATATGTCACAGCCCCTGCGGACACTAACGCATGTCTCTGCTAACTAGGATAATGGTGTGTCTGGTGGTCCAAAACCAGCTGAACCAGATAAGCAAGCAGAGCAGGACCCTGATGACCTGACTGGCAACACTAAACTGTGGCTTGGCAAAGACTACAGCAACTTTATCAAGAAAGATTGGGTCCAACTGGACAGACCATTTGAAGGTAATGTCTTAATCTTCTTAAGTATCCTATACATGCAAACACACTGAGAGGAAAGAGGGAGCTGAAAAGGTTTTGCTTTTTGTATTTTTTCAGATAACATCGACCGTACCCAGGTTCCCCGCATGCCGTGGCGTGATTTTTCTGCAGCTGTTCATGGCAGAGCTGCCAGGGATGTAGCCCGCCACTTCATCCAGCGCTGGAACTTCTCCAAGGTCAGACTCAAAGCAAAGCTCTGTTATTTTAAAGCTATACCTGGGTTTTATTCTGACATTAGCATATTACTGTAAACATCCTCATCATTTTACTGGACCGGAACATCTTCAGCCTTACAAATGAGTCACATATAAGCTTCAGTTGGCTTTAACGCATATTTTACCGTAACTATCCAAAGCACTAATTTGTGTATTATTATTTGAAGCCGTCACATAGTGCTAAAGCAATCTGAGACTTTTGTTGCCTGTTGAAATCGTTCTACTTTATTATGGTATGCTACGCTAACCTATTGGGTTTATTAGCCACAACTACAACAATATGAGTCAGATAGTAAGTAGTAAAACAAAGTGTATCTAACTTTTGTTTTTTATCAAGGCTTCTGTAGGAAACAGGACCAGCAGGAAGGTCGGAAATCTTGCTTTCATTCATTTGTTTTGTCTTCTCTAGATCTTCAAAAACAAGTACAAGGACGAGTTCTATCCTTACCTTCTTCCCAAGTCTCACTGCACTGCTGACTCGCTCTCATTCACGGTGCCCGGATCCAGCAAGGCCAAAGTGCAGGTATTTAAGCACCAAAGACCAAGTCACTATGATGAGTCACACATGATGGCAACACAGAAAACAAGCAAAGTATTTTAAGTATGGCTTAGTGTACACATGAAAAAGGGATTTCTGTGTCCAACCAGCCTTAAAGATGCCTTTCATCAGGACAACATCAGGGTTTGAAACCTTGAACTCTCATTTGAGGAAAGGATTATGTAAAATTATGTTGGGAAACTAGTGAAATGTATTTACTGTAAACAAACAACACCGTTGGCATTTTACTTTGTGAGACACCGAGTCAGAGCTAGCAGGAAATCAAGTGGATTTCTTTACAGTACAACAAAGAGACACTGTTCTGCCTTTTTGAAGTGCAGCTTAAGTATTCAGAGCTCTGAAATCACTTCCAACATGTTTATCCTGTTCAGTTAAGCCAGAGAAAACAAATGCACCGCCAAAGACGGGGAAGGGGGGGGGGGCGACAAGTGGAAGTGTTTCATTTTTTAACGGGCTTCATGGGAAATGTGGTCCAGGTCATGAGAACTGCCAGCATTAGCAACACCACTGGCATGGCAGAGGCTACCGTCCTCACTCTGTACTGACTGAGTGAGCGTTGGGTAACAACAGCGTTTGCTGTGTGTACTTTCTTCTTCTACGGTGGGCAGTGGCCTGTAACCTTAACCCTTGCTCCCTATTATGACACAGCTTTCCTATCAGGTTTAGTTAATCCCGTATTCAGGTTTCAGGGACTCAGTTCTCACATTTTTTTGTTAGAGCTGTATGTAAAGCAGAAGTTGATGCAAGGCACAAGCTGAGTACATCACAAATAGCTTAAAGTACTACCAAAAGTGATAGCAGCAGTTTCAGGTTTCTGATTTGTTACACGTCTATGATACAGCTAAAGCTTTTAAAAGTACTTTTTAAAAATAAATAGCGTAATAATGCTAAATGCTAGAGTTCCTTGTTCTTCTCTAAAGTCTCGAGCTAAACTTGGATGTTACGGTTGATTTGGTAACAGGCAGTTATTATGATGTGAAAGACGTGTCTCGTGGACTGACTCGTCTCTTCTTCAGGTGTTGCGCTCAGCCGACCGCTGGTCGACTGGAACCAATGAGAACTCGATCCTCAACGCCTACATCCACACCATCGAGAACAGCGAGCACTACATCTACATCGAGGTAATGCAGGAACAGACGAATCCGTACGTCTCTATCAATGCTTTCTAATGATTTGTTGATACTTTTTAAAATAATAGCATACATGGCAAAAAAAAATTGTTACCGCAAATAGTTTTAGTAGCAACACTTAAGAGTGGGTTCTGTTTTGTATAGAAATGCATCTATTTGTATATAAAGATTGGCCTCTCTTTATTTCTGATGTTTCAGCATGTGATTCTTATATACTTGCATAACATTTGACTCTTTCATTTTACGTGACACTGTAGATTCTGTAGCCAATGTGTGTCTGATCATGAGTTCTCATGAGTCTGAATATAATCACGGCTCGGCCCTTTCCCTGCCAGCTCCCTACCTGTGTTAGCCCTCACCTCATACCGAGCCACCATCTGCCTTTTCTCTGCCCTCAGAACCAGTTCTTCATCAGCTGTGTGGATGATGGGAAGACCGTCTATAATGGGATCGGGGATGCAATTGTGAATCGAATCTTGCGTGCACACAGGTCGGGTTTGATTGCACTAGAGAGATTTACGTGACGCTTCGTTTAATTTGCATACCCACGATCTCGAACCTTAAAGTTATAAAGCAGTTTTTCGTGAAGCTCATTGTGACATTTAAACATGTTAAACAAAGCACATTTGTATGAACAATGAGTACATTTCTGCATTTTCTCAACAAATCACAACACTGAATAGAAATAAGAGTGAAAGGAACAGTCCACTTGTCGTAATGTTTAAATGGTCCACTTGTTGACATTGTGTCTTACTGCAGAGAGCAGAAGAAGTACAGGGTGTTTGTGGTGGTTCCTTTGCTTCCTGGATTTGAGGGAGACATCAATTTGGGAGGTGGAAATGCCATCCAAGCTATTCTGCACTTCACTTACAGGTGAGAGCCTTTTCTTCCCGTTATCATTTATGGACAAAATGCAAAAGTTGAGGATTTGCTTCAAATTTAATTGGGATAATATTCCATTCTTTTAGCTTTTGTGTATTACAAGTAAGTAAGTAAGAAGTAGCTGTTTCACCAGTTACTTTTTTAGTTATTTAATTAGTAGTTTTAGTTCAAAGTTGTAGCACAAGGCTGGAGTTTCTGTCAACCAAAAGTGCAACTTCATTGATTGATATATTTTTATCCTATAATGTGTTAATCATGTCTTTTTTGTGAATGATTAATCTCCTAGGACCATGTGCCGAGGCGAGCACTCTATTCTCTCAAGACTTAAGGAAGGTGAGTTTTCTGTCACTTGTCTGCTCTCATTTCCACGCAAAAATCCACCTGACATCACAAAATACCACCTGTTTCCTCTCTGACATGTTTCTTTCTTTTTCTTCGTGTTGCTCCTTTAAACTGAAGCTACTGGTACTAGGTATCTGCCCACCAGTTTCCATTTTCATCCTTGACTTCTTCTTCTTTTCCATTTTAAGAGTCTATGTGAGTTTCCTAATACATTTCCATTGTTTTGCGTTATCCTTTGTGATTAATGTGATTCTGGTTTGCCCCCCAGTTGAGGACCTGTGGACAGAGTACATCACACTCTGCGGCCTGAGAAAACATTCCCAGCTCTGCCAGTCGCTTGTCACAGAGCTCATCTATGTTCACAGCAAGACCATCATTGCTGATGACCGCTGCTATATCATTGGTACGTCACCACTGATGCAAACTCATTCAAAGACAGTTTTATCATTTTGACCTTAAGTCATCATTGAGCTATGAGACTACAGTGTATTTTAATCCATGAGTTTTAGCTGTAGTTTAATAGCACTGTCAACACTTGTAGAATAAAACATTGCAAGTGGACAAATAGATGGACATTTATTTATTAAAATGAATAATAAAGACAATGACATTTAATATTTACAAGTTTAAGCTCCTTAAATTAGGTGTACAAAGGAACACTTGCCCGGGGATACCAAGATCAAGTGTACAGTATGGATATTGAAAAGCTGCACAAATAAAAAGGATCCTCTAATGAGATTCTGTCATTCGTTTAAGTATTTCAGTAGTTAAAAAGTTAAAATCTAAAAAAAGATGCCATGAAGTCAAACCCCATTTTTGATACTAGTTATGGTTGTTCTATTTTTTCAGAAAATAATTTAAAGTATTTACATTCTGTAATTTTCATTCTTAGTGGTGGAGTCCACCATTCCGGTGCTGGGTTCAGATTGCCTACACACACACACACACTTGCACACACAGGATTCACAGGAAACGATGTAAACATGTAATCCTGCGTTTCTATTTGTAATTGTATCTCATTGTTTACTGTTCTCTCTCCTCATTTTGTCTTAAGGTACTGCTAATGCAAATCGAACTATCCTTCTACTACTCTGTCACATTTAAAGCCGTAAAGGATGCGGTGGCCTTTATTTTGAGGCATGCACAAGGAATGCAATGTATTTGTGACCAAATTAGCTATGGCCAGGACTTACATCTTAAGCACTGTACCTTTTAAAGCACATTATGTTAAACCAGGTTGAGACTGTTATATATATATATATATAAATCAAAACCCTTAAATCAGCAGTTTGTTTGCCAAGATTAATTTCTTCCACAGACTCTGTGATTAGTCAGCTTTGAGTTCTGCACTCACAGACTTCATTTCATTTACAGAATATAAACCTGTAACATTCGAGTTCAAATCCATTTCTGAACAACAAATGTACAGATTACACCTTACCGAAAAAAGAGAATCCTGGATTCATTGTGAAGAATATTTCCGATATAAAGTTATTTCATAGAGTTGCTTCATGCGTTGACTATGGTTTGACGAGTGACACCTCTGAAATGACAGATTGTTAATGCTCGTACTTTCCACTTGCTTTCCAGGATCAGCCAACATCAATGACCGCAGCATGCTGGGCAACAGAGATAGTGAGATGGCAGTGTTTGTGGAAGATGAAGATCGGGTCCTTTCCGTCATGGGAGGGCAGGAGTACCAGGCAGGACCCCTCACACTCGCTCTGCGTAAAGAGTGTTTCAGGTCAGGACGAGATATGCAACTCCTGAAATGTGCGCTCTGTTTATGCATGACCATGAACTGTTACTACCTCCCTCTAAGGGAGTGTGTCACCTATCTCTCTGTCATGGAAAATATCAAGGCTAGCTTAGCTTGTTTTTATTGAGGAGGGTCGGCTACCAAATGGAATCTGGCAACAAGTGAGGAACCATATATATTTTTTGGAGACTTACAAGAAAATCATCTCATTTGAAAATTATGTAATATTTTCCTTATGATGAACCAAAATAGTTTCATTCTCACTTAAAAACTTTAAATTATAATGTGACATTATAAGAACGTTTTGGATGTTTGAATGCTCTGTGCTTGCTGAACGTTCAGCCGTTATTTATTTATTTATTTTCCCCACCAGAGTTCTTGTTGGAGCTTCTTCAGACCCCAGTGTCAATGTTGACGATCCAATCAGCGATGAATTCTTCTTCTTGGGCTGGAATGCACCTGCTAAACTGAATGCCACCATATACGACAAGGTATAAACTATCTAAATGATGGTGGATCATAAATCATGATCTTTTTATTCAGGGTTAGATAGATGTAGTTTGTTTTCTTACCCCAGGTCTTCAAATGCCTGCCCGACAACGCTGTCCACAACATGCGACAGCTGAAGGAATACGCCAGCGAGGAACGCCTCTGCGACACAGATCCTGAGCAGGCCAGAGAGGAGCTAAAGGCCGTCCGAGGGCTGCTGGTCCACTTCCCGCTGAAGTTCCTGTGCGAGGAGAACCTGCTGCCTCCACTGAACACTAAAGAAGGCATGGCTCCGGTGGGGCTGTGGACATAACTGCAGCTGAGCTCAGATCAGACCACTACGTAACAGCTAAGGGGCTGCTGCACCACATGCTCCCTGTAGTCTCTAATGTTTAGCACAATAACCTTAAATAGTTCCAACACTGACGCTGCAATGGTGAGGAAAGACATCGCCTCAACACATTGTCTCTTTGACTGACGATGAATTCGAACATAACCACTGACATGTAGATTTTTCATCATGATTTAGAGCAGTAGCTTAACCTGAACTGGACAGTTTGTTTGTGATGAGCGCGTCTGCTGCATAACTTGCACTACAGTGCAATCTGATCTGCAGGGCTGGCAGTGGTGTTAGACACACACAAATGAATGTATGAGTCAGGAGAGGATTGCGAGGTTGTATTGGAAATTAAGCATTCTCACATGATCTGGGAACATAGTGTACATTTATTGGTGCAAGGTTTTTGGGTGGGTGGGTGTCTCTGTCTCTCTCTCTCTCTCTCTCTCTCTATCGCACTCCCTCTCTCCCTCTGAGGCTTCACCTCTCACTGCAGTGCCAGCAAATCTGTCAGAACATTTGTGGTTGTTATGGTGACGGATATAAAGAGATGACTGGATGGTAGCTGAGACAAAAAACTGGAGAGGGCAGAAAAGGGAGAGTATCGATAAGAGGGATAACTTACTACATCAGGGTGTTGTTTCCAGAAAAATAGACGGTAATATGTTGAAGGAGGACTGATCATTTCTGTGGGAGCAAAATCATTTAAATATTTCTGGATGAATGATCAGGTGGGAAAACTGTTGGAGGGAAAGAAAAGGAGGACAAGATAATTAAAGGTTGCTAGGTTGATTTACGGCTAAATGTTGCTTTTTTTTTTTTTCTGAAGTCACCATGACAACCAAAGTGAATTATTATTACATCATTCTGTCAGCAGAACAGGACGAAACATTCCAGCATCCACTTCAGCTATTTCCACAATTCCGTGTCCAGGTGCCATAAAATGTCTCACATATCTACACTTTTTATTGATTTACATGCACCAGGCTTTTATTAGGCACATTACATTTGGCCATTACACTGTAACTGAGTCGTGGCATAATGTGGCTTATATTCACGGTGCAATTCCCACGGAGCAACATCAAGTCTTGAATCACAAAGACTTTTCGGTTTTTTTTCATATGAAATCATGGTAGTTATTCTCTCAAAACCTGCTAATTCTCTTGACTGAGCCATTAGCACTGAATGACCACTATTGAGCAAGTCTTGCACTGGATAAACATGTAGCATCCATATTACATTGACTAATTTGGAAATATCATGTAATAACTTGTAGCAAAGCAGGACCTGGAACACAGTCTTGCCAAGTTTATCAGAAACTGCAAAGCTCCTGTATGATGTCAAGATTTTAGATAACCAGCAGCGAGGCAGACAAAAGGCAGAATGTGAGGCTTTTGAATGGGACTTTATCTTTTATACTCTTTCGTGGTTTTCTCATTGCATTTTTAAAAAAGAGATCTGTATTTTTATGGAGACTTAAAATATTGGATTGATGTGCATGGCATTACCATAATCCAGTTCATAATTTTTTTTTTAATTGCTGAATATACGACAGTGAAATACACAAAATTCTTTGTCCATGCAGAATTTGTTGTCAACAACACTACCAAGATGGTTACAGCGTCTAAAGGAGTACTTTTGGAACACTAGGCACAGGGGGTAAATTGGCACCTCTCCAGTACCAATCAACACTCCGCACTTGGTCCATACAGGGACTTGAACTTGAACCCTCCGGTTCCCAGGCCTGGTCCCTACTGCTGCTCCAGAGCCAATGCATCAGTGAATCTGACAGATGACAAGTGTCACACATGAACTCTGCCTTGTCACTACATGAAGCACCTTTCACAGAGGAAGATATTAAAAAGACACTATGAGCTCTTGCACAATAGAAACTGGGTATTTGCTGTAACCTGTCTTTTACAGCACAAAATGGTTATACTTTGTTTAAAAATTCTACCGAAATGTCTGTGATATACTGAGAACCTTGTACTGTTTTACCATGATTTTTGTTTTTATTGGACTAATAGCCAGCATTACCAGTACATTTTTTATCAATAAACTACTAACAGAAACTAAACAAAAAAAGTCACCATGTGAAAATCTTTATGTATGAAAACCTGCAGATCTTGGTTATTACCTTAGGGTTGCTGATGTATAGCCTACTAACACTGAGGGTTAGAGAGATAATAAATATTCTTACTTAATCATTTAAAAACAGTTATGAACAACCTCTACTTCAAGGTATGTTATTTTTCTTATTTCCTCAATAAACTTGTTTTTATGGAGTTTCAATGTGACTTTAAAAAAAAAAATTTAATCAAAATGGCCTTGGGTATCAAAAAATAGCCTTCCACAGCCAGAACTACTGATACCATCTAGAGACAGGAAAAAAACAACTATGTGGAGGCAAACATTCTAATCCTAAAATTCAAGGATCTTTTGTCATTATGCAACACAAGGATGCACAACAACATTTTGTTGTAGCCCATTTTCAACACAACAAACACATGGCAAACAAAACAAAAACAGTAGCACATTCCTGCATCACAAGGAATGTAAATAGCAACAAAGTGGTATCACTACTTTAAATTCCATCCTTTATCTGTTCATTCTTGGAACAAATGTATTTTAATAAATCATTTTGAAGACTGAGTGTACATAGAAACTACACTTGTAAATGGGCACTATTTAACACAATAAATAAGTTAATTTAATACATGAATGCTGAAATCTTCAATAAAGCACCATGCTAGATTGTTTAACTCTTTGTGGACAGCATTGGACTTGAATCATGCATTATTGATGAGCATTATGATCTGTTGAAGATAAAGTAGGCCTGTCTTAATGTAAAATAACTGTAGTCGGCATAAAGCTCTTAGGATGGCAGACACATCAGAGCAAAACAAAGAACAGGAAAGGGTCAATTAGTTACTAATAGCCACAGACACACTAGGATACATTGCAGTGTGTTCTTTAGTTATCCAGCAGAATTGTATTTTAATTTAATGTATTTTTGAGACGGAGTAGGTCATTGCAGGACAGGTCTGTCAGAGGACGACCTCGGCTGTGCTGCTGGGAGCAGACAAATGCAGTTGCGTTCCGCTGTAATTTTACAGGTAATTTGTCCCTGATGAAGCACCGTAGTCATCCAGAGCAAAACACTTGAGGAGCGTGTGCAGCCAATCGTCAGTACAACCCCGCAAGACTACAACAAGGCTGGGAGTGGGAGGGAGGACTCGGGAAGCAAAACATGGCGAAATAACAAGTTTAGCTGTCGCCGCTTTTGGAACTGCACCGTGTCTTTAGTGTTGGAGTATAACTACCAGTTCATACAAATCGGACGCGTTAGCACGAAGGCAACGCTTAACTTTAAAGAGTCGTTGGCCCCAATTTAAGTATTACGGCGGTGCCTCGCGAAAAAAAAAATAAAAAATAGTGCTCGTCTGCTTGCCTGCGCTTTTCCCCCCGGAAGGTTGTGGCGGTGCTAGGCGCGACTGTCAACAGAGAAAATGGATGAAGAAGGAAAGTTTATTCTGGAAAAGACTATTTAGCCGACTAGCTTAGCTACGTTAGCTAGCCAGTTAACGTGCGGTTGATTGCACGCACCTGACTCGGTGTTCGGACGAACGTGCGCTCCGGGTCCAAACTGAGGAATATTTAAGTCGTGTTAACAAGTTTGACAACTGCAGTCGCGAATGATCGTATTTCAAACGAGGCCATTATTTTAATTTTCCGCACTTTGTCTTTATATTTTGGGAGGACACACATTTGAGGCTAATATTGACAGCCTGACAGACGGTTCTGGTGCGGACGGACCCGGACGCCATCACATCAGACGTTGCGTCCCTCCTTAAAAAAAAAATAAAAAAAAACAACCATTGCGCTGTTGAGCTGTAAATGTTGTTTTCTACTAGGAATGCTTCAGTGACACATCAGTCCTATCGGGTAGTTTAGACGCAGCATTCTCTCACACATGACATTAGCTGGATGTTGTACAGCAGCAGAGACGTCTTGTCAAAATGAACGCAGCAAGGTGTTCAACAACAGTGGAGGTGCATCGCGTTGTTGGTAGAACGGTACCGATGGCCGGCTAACGGTGACGTTACCACTTTGTTGATATCTCTTGTGTGAAGTTAAACTGTATTTTGATGAAATATTATAAGCAGGATTTCTGTAAAAAAAACAACTGCGGATAACAGTGTAAGCTCTCGTGAGCTAGCCAGCTGGGTGCGCCTGTGTGCAGCTCTCTATCTGCGATGTGTTCGCTAATCTAAGTGCTAACCGTGTTGTTCCGCAACAGTTTCTGCACATTGGACAGCCCGTTTTGCTGAATTTAATCCATAGCTAAAGCCGGTCTCGATCGCTGTAGCAGCCGCTTACAATCCCCGTCAGTACTTCTTGTCAAATATCTGGCTAACTTGGTAGCTAAGGCTCTAAGTTTTCAACAGCTATGTCTGAAAACGCCCCCACACGAAGCCTGGACGACATAGACCTCGCCGCTCTGAGGGTGAGTATTTGTTGTTGTTACGATACGTGTGCTGCACTTTATTCATGTAGAATGATGGCAGACGGGACTCATTGGATGTTATGTCATATGAACTGAAGTGTCGGTTTGCCGCCTGACACAAGCACGACCATTCAACACCCACGCGACAAAAGTTGAGGTGGAATAAACGTCCCTTGGCCCTGCATTGCTGTAGGCAGCTGAGCTGCTTCAGTGTCACAGATTCACATCAGAGATCAACGAGTAAAGAAGCGAGTTTATAGCCTGGACAACTTTTAGTGATTAGTGCATTAATAAAAACACGAGAATGAAGGCTGCTTCTGTTGCTTGTGCATCACCTGAAACTCTTTGTCATTGTCATGTAGTTATTAGTCTGTTTTTTTTAATTTTTTATAATGTATTTTTAACTAACGTTCCAGTTAATCTCAATCTCAAGAGTTCTAAACTCTTGAGATTGAGATGCACAAACACGATCTCTATTGTTTAACATATTGTTGTTTGCAGTGGTGGGCCAGCTAAGCCTTCTCTGCTGGCCTAAACAGAATCACAAAGTTATAGCTATTTTGTAATTTAATAAAGATTCAGCCCTTATTTCGCTATGCTATGCCAACCTGAGGACGCCGGCGGACGCCCGCCCGTTGTCTGTTACGTGAGCGCAGTCCACCGAAAACATTATATTTCCCACAATTTAAGCTTCTGCATTTTTGCACTAGTAAAATTCAAACGTATTGTTCGGTTCGTAAGCCTCATACCAAACAGTTTAATACGAATTAAACATGGTATTATTACACCAATAGAAACAAATAACCGTAGCTCAGTAGGACAGCACAGAAGGCCCAGGTATAAAATGCACAGCCCGCCACTGGTTGTTTGGAGGTGTTTTGCAGTCGTGATTCCAAGTTGAATGGGAAATCCTCTCTCCATTTCCTTGTGAATTTTGGATCTGGTCTTTTTGGTTTGGTTTCTCTTAAAATACTAAAAGTATTAGACTTTGTTGTTACTGATCTGGTATTAGCAGTGGTCCACCTTGAAGGCCTCAGTTTAAAATAAAAATCAACCAACCTTTTATGACTACCCTTTTCTAACAATAGAACCACTTTACCAGACAAGAAATGAAATCAAATGAGAATAAAAAGTGTCAGCACTATTCTGATTTGATGAAAAATCTTCTTTCCAAGGCTACAGTTTCTTAAGTGAGACCACAGCGCTGATGCTCCCTTTTGATGCATCTCTCCATTTCAATGGGAAGTGTCAACATCTATGATTGTGTTGCAGCATTAAATCCCCCAAAGACAGACCTTTATTAGCATTATAAGGAAGCTTTTTATGCGTTCAGTCACTGCCTTTTTGGAAAGGTAGATCACAGCCCTGTCTCCACGCTACAGGTTTGAAACAGAACAATAGCTTTCTTTTTCATTATTATTTTTTTTATCTCTGTCTAGAATCAAAATGACCAAAGGTTACTCTGAGAGACTTTCCTCTGGGTGGGTTACTCCATGGAAAATAATTGAGTGTTGAGGAATTCACATATTTATGGGGCTTAACAGGAGATCAGGGCTAGTTTATCCCAATCTTGGCTTGCTTGGACCTCTGTTATCTTCCCGCTGACTTTATATCAACAGATTTTTCAAAATCCTTGCATATTGTTAGAGCTGACCCAGCTCTTTATAACATATCTGTATGGTTATATGAGAAGATCGCCAATATTATCGGAGTTTATTTTTTCATTTAAAATAAGATACAATCACTTCATTCAATTTGGGAATTATCAGTCTCAATAATATCTCTGTTCAGTTAGACCTGGTATGGTACAGTAAATTGAAGTCATGTTTGAATATGAAAGTTGGGTTTTGTTGGAAAGTGAAGTAATTGTCCGGTTTAAAGTGTTAATGAAATCCTTAAAATACAAAAAATACCAATATCTGCCTGGCCATCTACCACTAGAATGAATTGTGATTTGGGTTAGCTGACCATTTAAAGGTGCCCTGTGGAGTTTTCTTATGAACAAACAAAAGTGAGATGTTTACATTCAGTATCACTCACCAGAAGGCATCGTGTGTATCCTTGAGCTCCAACAAATGTGTTAAATGCATTTCCTCCCTCGTAAAACATTTGTAGAGTCATTTTTTTCAGTATTTTGAATCCTGCATTGTTTACTAGCTAACGGTCCTCTTCTTCCGTGCCTTTGTTGGGGCATGCTGCAGTCTCGGGCGTTACTGCCACCTGTTGATGAGTGGAATAGTGTGAAACCATTGGCAGGACTGTGGAGCACGACACTCTTGTGCGCGTGCATGTGCGTCCATGTTCATGCGCATTAGGGACCCAGTCATAGATAAACGGCTCCACAGCTCGACAGCACTACTAGAGGACAAAAACTCCACAGGGAACCTTTAAGTGGCTCAATCACAGAAGGACTCCAGCATTGGGCTACATAGCAACAGTCCACTGTACACGAGCAACAACTAATCATTTGTGCTGTAACACGTTGTTCCAATGTCAGTAGCACTGATAAAATCAAGCTATCTGCACAACTGTTTCAAGTCCAGGTGGCATAGCAAGTTACACTAAGACAATTAAAGAGACATGGTCATACTCCAACAAATATGTCTGCTGAGTTTCACCTGTTTTGTTCTTAATTTAAAACTATTGGAAAGTGATTTCTATGCTGATTTTCAGTTTCAAACCGAAGCGTTGATAGTGTGATGAGATTATTGGATGCTGGTTAACCAGGAGTACCGGCCCTCTGGAAATGAAACTCGTGACAAATCTAGTCTTGGGATTTTTTTATTTTGGTGCAGTGGAACAGTCCATGTTTGCTATGCATGGCATAAATAAGCGTACATGATGGTGATAAAAAACACTCCTTTTAATATGAAGCTTTACTGTGAACACCAGTAAAAGTGTCACGTCAGAGATTAAACTTCCTTAACTTAATTAACCTTTACTTTGTGTCCATTACTCCTCCCCCCCCCCCCTACATTGTGATTATGAATTAACAAAGTCATCAAAATTGTGAACTGTGAAAATCAAAAAACATTTTTTTTGTGGATACACTAACTTTGGATGGATGTAAATGAGCCCACAAGGTGTTTACTGATACTTGGCCCATAGTGGTAGCATAATCCAACAATGGAAAATAAATAAATGTTCTACCTTAACTGAGATGTGCAAATTCATGCTGTTGGGATCAGTTGGCTGAATTTGAAAAAAGATGAAGTACTTCCAAATTTAAGTATCAGGACGCCATTTAAAAACATTTAAGGTCAACTGTAAAGTCGTTCACTAATGATATTCAGGGAATGTAAGTGTTTGAGTAGTGATTTTGACTATTGATGCAGCTGTGTATCCACAGAAAGGGCAGACTTCCTCTGTCAGCTAAGTTGACACCCCTGCAGGAAATGTGTGGTCAACTTCCCAATGGACCATTATCAGTGTCTTTTAAAGTTTATACCCTATTAAACTGAGGTTGATGGGAAAATGCATTGCATTATTCCCTGAGGTTAATCAATACATTACGTTTACACATTAATAAGACGGCATTATATCCATAAGTACTACCAGAGCTGCCATTTGTATCATTTAAGCAGGCTGACTGCAGGTTTCTCCTCCAGTTACCCCGTGGTTGTACTGCTTCCTTGCCGTTTTAGCAATCATTGCAATGTGTCTGCCTGTGTGTGTGCTGGTGGTGCTAATCCTTGAACATAACTGTACCCTTCCCCTTCTATCACTTCGTTCCTCTCATCCCACTCTCGTGGGCGAAGCTACTGCCTCTGCCTTGCCACCCACTCATTATTCTCTTCCATATCATCACATTGTTGCCTCCCGCTTTACGTTACAGTTCCCCCTCTTTAGTGTTCGAACACGCTTCAAAATACGGTATCTTTGTCATATGGGTTGTGTGTGCATTTGCATCAAATGTGTGGTCACTTCCCAGTTTTACTGCCAAATCGTTCATAAGTATTCGTGCTATTTTCTTCCCATAAATGTTTCCTGTCTCAAAGGAATTTCCCCCCCTCCCTATTGAAGCCACAAAACCCATCATTGGAAACAGATGAAAGCAGGATAGGTCATGCTGTACATTCTAAACCCAAAGCAGCACTCTAACCACCCACACATCTTCTTAAAGCTATATTGAAATTGCTTGAAAGTGGAACTGATTGTCATATTCCCTTGTGTCTTGGGGGAGGGGTTGCGTAATTAAGTCAAAGCACCCTTGGTATCAGTAGAATGTGTGTTCACTCTATTGAAACTTAAAACGAACAAATCAGGAAAAGGCCCGATGGATGTCCATGTCAAATCCATATCTAATCTAATATCAATATGGTGTGTGTGTGTGTGTGTGTGTGTGGGGGGGGGCTGGCTAGGAAGATTGAGTTCAGATGATTTGTATGGTAATATTGGCTTTAGTGTATACAAAGTAGAAACCATTGGGGTTGTTTTTATGTACGAGTCTTTGTGCTTTTGACGTGTTGTTGATGGAGTCAATAGATCTACTGCTACACTTTAACTGATGCACACATTCAATTAAAGATTCTCGATTGTTCTGTTAAGGCAAAAGATTGAGATGACTTTTAATTTAAACATTTTTAGCCTGTTGGTTTTATTTTGTGTCCTCAACAGTGTTTTGTATTCAGACTTATTTAAGCCAGATGGCAGGAGTTACTAGAACAGGTGCAGTTTAGTATGAATTTGCTATCTAAGCGTGACTTTTAACTGAGGAAACATGAGTGTAACAACTTGAAATACGACCTCCACTTCGGGCCGGCATTGAAGTGTGGATGTGTAGGATTCAAAGCGAGCATCAGCCACTTGGAACACGAAATAGATACGGTTTGCTTAGAGTGTAGCTGTTTTTTTAATTTAGCAAAAATAAAAAGCAAAACAAAATGCAGTTTATTTTATTGAAATGCTGTTTTTATTTGGAGCGGTTTGTATTTTGATGGTGTATCTGACCCTGCTCTGTCTGTATGTTGTACGACTCATGAATCTGACCGTGTCTCCCGTAGGATCCAGCAGGGATCTTTGAGCTGGTCGAGGTCGTCGGCAATGGGACCTATGGGCAGGTGTACAAGGTGAGACATGATGCCTAAATTATACCTCCATGATGTCGTGCTCTTTTCGTAGACAAACGCATTAAGTTTTCACCTGTGCGATGACTTGCTATAAAACTGGGCACCAAAGACCACTCTAGTGCCTGCTCTGTGTTTAATGTTTTTTGCATTCATTTCTCAGATTACAGTAGATTTAGCTAACTGCTATGTAAGTACATTTTTCAGCTGTCGGCCTGAAAAGTTAAAACTGTCTGTGACCGAAAGATAAGAGACGCTGGAGAAGAAAATGTAAAATAAGAACGGTGAAGTGGTGCGATAAGGCAATTAGCCACACTTGATGGGGCGACATTCAAAGAGTTAATTTTAAACTTTACTGACCACTGTTGTGATGAACTTGTCAGGGCCGTCACGTGAAGACGGGCCAGCTGGCTGCCATCAAGGTGATGGATGTCACGGAGGAGGAAGAAGAGGAGATCAAAGCTGAAATCAACATGCTGAAAAAATACAGCCACCACCGCAACATAGCCACGTACTACGGTGCCTTTGTCAAGAAGAGTCCACCAGGACACGATGACCAACTTTGGGTCGGTCTCTCCTTTTACCTGGCCTGATCCTTTTATAGCAGTGTGCCTCATTGATTGTGCTCACTACGTCTGCATTTGTCTGTATGCAGCTGGTGATGGAGTTCTGTGGGGCGGGATCAGTGACCGACCTGGTGAAAAACACTAAGGGCAGCTCTCTAAAGGAGGACTGGATCGCTTACATCTGCAGAGAAATCCTACGGGTGAGATATGGCCGTCCCACCAGTCAAAACAAGTCTGCAGCAGAGGTCACTCCTTACTGAGCCATTTTGACTTCTTTGTCTGTGCACAGGGCCTTTCTCATCTCCACGCCCACAAAGTCATCCACAGGGACATCAAGGGCCAGAACGTGCTGCTAACGGAGAACGCAGAGGTCAAACTTGGTACGTTGAATGCTTGTAGGTTTCGGGTAAAAGAGCAACAGTAGGTATCTGCTACCCTGCATCGTCTCGCATCCTGTTTCCTCTGATCGCTCTGTCCACATTCAGTTGATTTCGGGGTGAGTGCTCAGTTGGACAGGACCGTCGGGCGTAGGAACACCTTCATCGGCACGCCGTACTGGATGGCGCCTGAGGTTATTGCCTGTGACGAGAACCCCGACTCCACCTATGACTACAGGGTAAGTTTGTGTCCGCACTATGCTGCGGGAGCGTATGAAAGGTAGACACTGACCTGGTCCCTTGTGTATTTTGCAGAGTGATATCTGGTCCTTGGGGATCACAGCCATTGAGATGGCAGAGGGAGCTCCTCGTAAGTGTATACACTCCTTTTGAACCTGTTCTTGTTTGAAACATGCATTTCTATCTACCCAGCAACAGACCGTTTCTCACCGCCAGAGAAGACCTCATGAATGAGTCCGTCTTGCATGTGCGGCCTTGTTGTCTGAGTCTTCAGATGGGCAGCTGACTCACTGTAATCAAGGTAGTGTAGTCGTGAGCTGGCGGTTGGCCTGTGGAGGCTGATTGCACAGAGCTCTCTGGTCTGCTAAGCGGGGCGATATGTCTGTCTAGAGATTTGGTTTCAAACCTGACTAAGAAGAAAAGAAAATCTCACTAAAGAGTAGCAGCTAAAGTGTTTGTGAAATGAATCGCAGCTGTGGTGAACTTACAATGATGATGTTCTGAGAGCCTTTTGTTCACATCACTGATAAGAACTACGGAGCTCTTGTAGCCCATGTTGCTGCTGCCAATGACATAAGACATACGGGACAACTGTGAAGCTGATTGTACCTTTTTAAATGATGCAGTGTGTAATTACTCACTCCATCAGTTTCATTACTGAAGTATGTATTCCACTTACAACGGCGCAATATTCCTTGTTTTTTGATTAGATCGCTTTTAGGTTTTACGGCTGAAACCATTTTTTAAAATTAAATTTTGATTAGTTGGTCAACAGACAATAATGGAAGACAGTTTTATGAATTATTTAATTTCTCTGTTTAAAATCATAACACTATTACTTTGTTTTGCAAAACTGTTTGCCGAATAAATATAGACACCACTTTTGTCTTGGATAACATAAGATAGATAAATATTTTGATTTGATTAGTTGATTAATAATTGATTGATATCATCATTATTGCAACCCTAGTCGTTGTCTCTCTTATTTATTTATTTTACATAATGACTATGATAAAGACCAGATGTATTGAACCTTTCTAACTGTTTTTTTTATTGAGTTATATATTTAAAGCATTAGTTCAATTTAGTTTGTCGTCAAATAATTCAATAGAACATCTGTATTGATGTGTGACGGGTGAACTACAGTCAATTTATCGACAACATTGTAAAGACGGGACTGACGAATGCTCTCTGTGGTATCCGTCGCTGTTTCATTGAGACGCATCATTGTTCTAGTTCCAGTAATGTATTCATTAGCCTTACAGCGTTACTAGCTTTCTGTTTATTTTTGAACATGTGAATTATTGAGCATCTTTTCACCGAATCTTTTCGTCACTAGCTGTGTTGGCAGACACCCTCCATACCTTTTACTGTTTGTTCAGACGTATAAGGAAACACGGGGCTGTCAGTGTGGTGACTAACGGGTAATCATTTAGAAACACCGTCTGGACGATTGATCAGCTAAAAGCAGAAACAAACAGATCAGTTCACTCCAGGTATTTAATAAAACACGAAATGACATCATTCACACTGACAGGATGTTGACAAAACTGCCAACATCCTGTCAGTGGGTGATCCAGTCCTTCTTAAATGAAAATAAACCATGTGAGTCTACTGAATAAATACTAATGCTTATACATTATGGCTGTGTGTGATACAAGGTAAACATGCATGTTATATGATGCACACACACACAAACGGTAGCTGTCATCCTTTTGTTCCCTTAAAATACTGAAATAAAATGTTCTTCCTGCCTTCGGCTCTCTCAGTCACGTTGCATTCGTCCAAAAGACTGCCATGTGAAAGCCTATTTACTGTGAAACTGTAAAGCTAACCAGTCAGGTTTAGCTACCTACCTACGCTGGAACACACTGACTCACAGCCCTTGCTCTTGCATTCAATATAACAATAAGCCTGAGGCACCAGGAACGATTGGATAACAGCAGCTGTAACCATGTTTGAGGATACAAAGACTGAGTAATGGTGGCTAGAATTTTTTAGAAACCACCAGGTGTGGGAGTATATGATACTCTGTCTTACATTTGATTTATTCTGATGTTACTTTTCCCTTCTGTTTATTGTAGGTCTCAGCTTTGGTAGGGGGATTTGATAATATCTACCAACTCACCTTCTTCTTTTATTTCTGCAGCCTTGTGTGACATGCACCCGATGAGAGCCCTCTTCCTCATTCCCAGGAATCCCCCCCCAAAACTTAAATCCAAAAAATGGTGAGTTATCAACCATCCTGTTGTGTTACTTACATATATCATATCCTAGACACCTAGCAGGCTCCCCTCATATGATTTCAAATGTGCATTAAGTCCCAAAACCTTATGTTTCCAAAGACAAACCCAAGAGTAAACGTGATGGCAGGAGAGCACAGTTACGTGCACTGCAGTAACGTTGTTGCTCTGTTATAATAACAATAACCAGGTTGAAGGGATAGTTTAGAATTGTTCAAGTAAGAGTTGCACGAGGTACTTATTAATAGACGGCGTATTACCGACAATAGATGACGATTGGTCATCCAAACACTGTAAAGACATTACAGAATGAAATGGGTCAGTGCGTTATGTTATTGATCATTTTTTTTCCAGTGACACACAAGACTGCAAGCATTCCTAGAAATGTCACATACATGACTCCTCCCCAGAAAAAGCCAGACCTGTTAAAGTGGCTAAAGATGGACCGTGTCCCACTTGCATCTCTCTTCTGCCCAGCTGCCAACTGTTCCCTTTCTCCCTACCCTCCCACTCTCCCTCACTCGTTTATCCTCCTCTCACCTCCCCGTTCCACCCAGGTCCAAGAAATTCATTGACTTCATAGAGGGCTGTCTGGTGAAGACGTATACCAGCCGACCATCCACAGAGCAGCTTCTCAAGCACACCTTCATCCGGGACCAGCCCACTGAGCGCCAGGTCCGAATTCAGCTCAAAGACCATATCGACCGTACGCGCAAGAAAAGGGGAGAAAAGGGTGAGCAGATGAGATGGAAAGAGCCTAAATGTGTAACCCAGGGTACCCTGTCTCTTCATACACCATGGTTTACTACACTTTACAGTATACTGTAGATTATCCCACCATCTTTTTCACGTAATTCACTTCTCTTGATGCTAATTTTCATTACAGAAGAAACAGAGTACGAGTACAGTGGTAGTGATGAAGAGGATGAAAATCGTGGAGATGACCGAGAGTCGAGGTATTTTCACTTTATTAGCTGCATTCATCAATATATTCTCTGTCCAAGTGACTTGTGTTCTCCGTGTGAATGATTGTCCCCAAAAGCTTCTCCCTCATTTCTTTTTTTCCTTTAATTTTGGCCATCAGTTCCATCCTCAACGTGCCCGGTGAGTCCACCCTGAGGCGGGACTTCCAGCGTCTGCAGCAGGAGAACAAAGAGCGCTCGGAGGCTCACAAGAGGCAGCAGGCTCAGCTGGCTGCTCAGCGTCGGGATCCTGAGGAGCACAAGAGGCAACTGTTGCACGACCGACAGAAACGCATCGAGGAGCAGAAAGAACAGCGTCGCCGACTCGAAGAGGTAATAATCAACTTTTAGTAGAGTAGTATTATGAGAAATACGCGTATTGGCTTTCTTTTCGAGAGTTGGATGAGAAGAATAGTACTACTCTCATATCTGCATGCTAAGCATGACTGTAGAGCAAGGAGGCATTTATCGTAGCTTAGCATAAAGACAGGAGAAGGCTAACCTGACTCTACAAAGTTCAGAAATACTCCACTCAACACCACTAAAATGTGTGCTGTAACTATTTCCAAGGAACAATAGTTACAGCCCATAACTCTAAAAGTACATGTCGAAATACTCCTTTTTAAAGAAAACAAAGATATTTTTCTTACCTTTTTATCTTAAATTTCTTTTTTTCCCCGTTTTGACACAACACTTAACATTCCAATATTGTCCACGATTATTGTAATGCACCCAATGCTGAGATTTTAGTACCTCCAAAATACAATTCTGCATAAACAAAGCATTGGTGATGAAAAGCACATCACTAGAAAGGATTGGAAAGTTCCCCAACCGTGCATTAAGCGACATGATGCTCAATTTACAAAACGTAGTTGTGTTTCAGAGACATTGCTGTAATGTAGGCTGAGTATCAGCAATTTATCTTTTGAAGTGAATTAACCTCCTGTGCATAAATCATCTCCCAACTTCAGAGAATGAAAACGCATTCATTGGGCGTCTCTAGTTTATCATCTAGAGCCAGATCTTCACAACTGACTTTGGTCTTATCATCGTGGTCTTCCTCTTCCTTGTATGGTGCTGGCTCTGATTCATTCTGATACATTTATAAATATAAGAACAGATCAGATTTTGTCGGGGATAGAAAAAAAAAATGGTGTCTTTGGCCTTATTTCCACTGTCACCCTTGTTTTATAATTAAATGTAATCTTGCACATTTTACCAGAGGCTCATAATACTAATACATTATGCAACAGGCGGAACATTTTTAATTCAAAGCAAAACTGTACCAAGCAACAAGAATATAATGTTCCTTGTCTGTGTGTCTGCTCTTGTTCTTCATCCACTTAACTACTCGCTGTTGCCCTTTTATTTGCCCTTTTACTATTCATTTGGTTTGCCATTGGTTGCTTTAGTCATAAGTACATGGCAGTTTTAATCTGCCTTCTATTATCGGCCTGCTAAACCTTTATGCAATATACTTAACGTATATCAATCCATGAACATAAGTAATAAAATATAAAACAGTTTGAATAGCTTATACTTTGAAATGTAGAAATGAGGCCTAAATGGAAAACACACACCAGGACAACTAAAACCTATCCATCCATTATTTTATTTATTTATTTATTTCCCCCCCCCCCCACCAACTTAAAGCCTCCGTAACTTAATAACTAGTTGCGAGGACTGAACAAAATCTCCGGTCACCTTAACTTGCAACAGTACATTTTCAACATTTTTCAACGTTCGCTGACATTCACAGTTGAATAAATGGGTAAACAGTGGGGAATAGAGTGAGATCACTTCAAGTGAAGGAAAGCCCACCTCCTAACAACACAGGTGTGAATTATTAATTCTGCAAACATTTGCCCAAAGTGAGATGATTTTGTAGCCTAGAGTGAGATGTTTTGCGAGTACCAAGTTTGTGCAGAAAAGGTCTAAATGAACGACCTTTTCACAGATCTTATGCTACATTGTTGGTTTGTAAATGCTGTTAAGTGTTTGCACACTTTTAAATGGAACAATACCAATTCCTCCTGACTTTGTTGATATATCTCGTTGTTGCACAGCTCAAGGATTATTTGGACGTTGTAGCGGTTAACAAAAAGTTTTGATTTACACTTGTTGTACAAATGTTGTCAATATTTCACATCCCCTGAATCATGTTATCGTCTCTGTCCAAGAGGCAGCTGAACTTGCTTTGATTTATTTTTTTTTATCTGACATAGAGTCGACAAAAAAGTGTTGTCATAGTGACAAAGTGCCTTGTTGTGGATAGCTGTCTGACAGTCTTCAGCCATCAGCCCTGATCAGCAGTCAGTCCATGGTTTGGCTGGTTAAGTCGGCTCATCATGCTCATTTTATTTATCATGTTACTACACGCATTAAACAAACATAGGCATAAGACATAAAGGACTGGGGAGCAAATATTGATGCGGGTATAAAGGACAACAGAATGAAGTAAAGAGTTTGTTTATGCTGTGATTTAATTGTCACGGTTGATGAACACTTTATGCTTGTAGCGAATATTTAAGTCGAGGTTTTGCACAGAGATTTTCATTTTGAATCACCATAACTGAGCTGCTGTGAAATGTCTGAGTTCTGTGGGGATTTTAATGAGGCACACTTTTTGCACCGATACTGAAAATGTTGTGCAGTATTGGTAAGTGTTTCACTGCAGTATAAATGAACTCCCCTGATATACCACCACCTCCTCGTCTATCTTCTCTGGCTCCTCAGCAACAACTGAGTGGACAAGAGCTTTGTGTGCCGTGTGTCATTTCAGCACAAAGAACAAGCCCTGTTTCAATGTCCCTTTTAAAAAAGATAAGGACCGCTCCCTACCAAAAGTGAATAGCTGTCGTCAATTTGAATTTGATTCAAAGCAGCAAACTGATGATGATTAGGATGGTGTGTGTGTGTGTGTGTGTGTGTGTGTGTGTGTGTGTGTGTGTGTG